TGGTCAAGTTTTCTACAGCCCCTTATACAGGTTCTTCTTCTCTGTGTGTATGTGTGTGTGTGTGTGTGTGTGTGTGTGTGTGTGTGTGTGTGTGTGTGCTGAACTACGAATAGATATATTAATATAAGTTGAATATTATATTATAAACATATACTTTAAAAATATAACTGTACGTGATTGGGGGAGGGGGTGGGCTTAGTCCCCTTACGAGGGGTTGGGGAAGGAAGGGGGAAATGACTCATAGGGTCTGAGCTCCCTTGTTTTGAGGCTTATACTAGCAGTTTTCTTGGGTCGTTTATGGTCATATTTTTGATTTGTGGCGATAACAAATTCCGTGCCCATGTTGCTGACCAGGGTCATCACGAGTAGATATGGTTCTAATGTGAGGAGACTATGGGTTCTCCTTTAATCTTCCATGACTGTAAAGAATTGCATGAATACCTGAGACTACGAGAATCAACGAGTAACTGATTTCGGAGTTTCATTTGAAAAGAAATATTAATAAGAACAGTTTTTGAGCAATTATAGGAACATATCATTAGAAGAGGACTGAAAAATATTGTGAAAATTAGTAGATTTGGTGTGTCCGCGCGTTCAATTAACGAATGAACAAAAAAGGGAAAGTGTTTGGGGAAGAATTTAATTGTCTGTGCTTAGCTTGGCCCATGGCTTTCGAGAATGTAATTGGTTTACTTGATTGTTTTCGGTAGAATTGATTCTCTTGAGCATGGTTATGGTGTTAGATAGTTACTCGAATCAGTTTTCACATACGCTAAAATAGTTTTAGTGCGCCAAACGAACGGTATAGTTTTAGTGCGCCAAACGAACGGTATAGTTTTAGTGCGCTGAACAAACGGCCTCCAAGGATGCTTCGAGCAGAGTGGCAAGCTTTACTGGGAAGGTCATGGGTAGTGAGCTTACTTTGGGTCTTTTGTTCAGGCTATGCCGGCGTGGTGGGTAATAAACAGACGGACAGATTGGCTGGATCTGCACCACTGGGTGATGAATTAGTACATGACAGGGCAGATGTTGTCAAGGTCCTATGGAAAGCAAGTAGGTTGGAAAAAGAAGATTATTATGGCCTGGAGAGAATGAGTCACCTGGGTGTAACCAGAGGGTCTGACCGGCTGACTACACTCAGAGGAAAGGCAAGACGGACGTTTAACCGGTATCATCAGTATTGGAACTCTGTATCAGTATTGGCTGCTGAAGATGAGGCTGCTGAAGCATGCACGGGAATGCCTCGAGTGCTGTGATGTTAATTCTGGACTCAGCTTAGCTCAACGAACGGCCTACACAAATAAAGTACACCGTATTAAACTTGTCGTATTCAATTTGTTCCTGTCATGATTGAAAGCTAACATGCAGAGGGCAAGAAGACAGAAACCCACACTAAACTCCCTCACCGAGATATTTGTGTATGATTTATATTCCCCTGGAAAAGATAATACTTGGGTGGTTCAAATTCCCTATTGTTAATGTGCAGTTTTAGAAGTGTATTTATTCACATATGGTTTATTTTATATAAAGTGATCTTCAGCATACCTGAGTTGTGGGACAAAACTAGACAACAAATCTCAAGATAAGATGAATAAACATCACGCCCTGCATTGGTTCGTTGCCTGGGTTGCAAATACAGTCGATTTTAATCCGATATAAAACACATTATTGCGAATACTTTTTAAAAAATACAAAACATTAAACATATATGTTTAAAGTTTTAAATGCCTGAATAATACGAGAAATCAACACGCGCTGACACAAAGTGTCATCATTCGGATGAGAATCACTCCGGCAGAAGTCCCAGAAACCCCGTTTAACCGTTTGGTTATAATATGGCTCCCGGCTTATGGGTCTCCCGGCTTCACAATTGGAGGAGAGTAAATTAGTGACTTTACTGGTAGGCTGATTGGTGGGTTGGTTAATAATCTTCTATAAGCCTGAGTTTTAACTTTTAAGACCGAAACTTTGTAATGTTACGCTAAAATATATCGGACAAACTGAATCAAAGAATCCCAGTTGTTGTGACCTGCGAGTCATCTGAGCTAAGTTAAGTAAGTGAAGGTCCCTTTTCCACTCCTTTAGGCGTACTGAACATACAGGGCTAGACCTATATTTTATAGACCAATCGGCATTTGCTAGGTGATGTGTCAGCATCACACAGCCGACATTACTTCCCAGGACTGCACATGGTACCCACTCAAGGTTGGGTCGACCTGGGAGCCGAGGTCATTTAAAGAAAGTCCGGCGGCGTCAGGATTTACCCTAAGGCAAGCTTTGAATCTATTTGAGTCAGGTTATTTAACCCAAGCCGGGGACAAACCACCAGCCTGAAGGGGGTCCTGCTGCAATCTAGCCTTCCTATCCCAGGCACTCAGCTTTCACGTGTACAGACAGGTCTGACAAAATGGAAACTCGTTAGCTGGATCCAGATAACGTCGACTGAACGCTTGATTCTCGGTCTAGCAGTAATGTGTGCCAAACACTGGCGATATAGTGCGAGGATAGGACGTTTGTTTAAAAAATTAGGATGTAATAGTGTTAAATGTATTAAATTAGATTGTTGCCGCACCACTACCTTCTTTTCCTCTTCCTTTACTGCTGCTACCACCACCACCACCACTACTACTACAACTACTACTACTGCTGCTGCTGCTACTGCTGCGGCTACTACAATCTATACAATAACTACTACTACAATACAACCATTATTACAACTACTACAACTACATCTATCACTACAACAGCTACAACTACTACAACTACTAATACTACAACAACAACTACTACTGCTGTTTCTTCTTCCAGCGTCACTTACAAATGTTTAAACTGCCAGTTGAAAAGCTCTGCTTATGATGCCCCTTTTATACTGAAACATTTCAGAACGTGCGAGCTGGGGGGGGGGGGGGGGGGGGGGGGGGGGTGGGGGAGAGAATTCGAAGAGCAAGAAGGAAAAAATAAGGCATGGTGTTCACCAGCCGGGCCGAAATCCGTGACTACTGATTGGTTAGAAGGGTGATTACAGACAGCAGGATCGACACCGGATATTATAATAATCTTTGTCCCAGGGCATGCGTGAGTTGTTGTTGGCAGTGACAGAGCTAATAAACTGACCAACTTTGTTTTTGTTGCAGATGAGATATTAAAATAAGAATACAAAAGGCAAGAGAAAAAGCCAAAAGAAATTAACAAAAATACTAAACTAAAAATTTTTTCATTCTAATGTCAAATCAGTACTTTTGTATGGGACGGAAACATGGAGAAAAACTAAGGCAAATACTAATAAATTACAGACATTCATTAATGGTGCCTGCGCAGAATTGAGGGAATTAAATGGTATGATAGAATAATTAATGTAGAAATTTGGGAGAGAACTAAACAGGCTCCAGTGGACCAAGAGGTGAGGAAAAGACGCTGGCATTGGATAGGACACACACTGAGAAAACAGGAGAACAGCACTAGAATGTCTTTGCATTGGGACCCACAGGGGCATAGGCATAAAGGCCAAAAAACACATGGAAAAGAGCGCTGGAAAATGAAGTTAGAACGATAGGGAGGACATGGGGAGAGCTTCATGTAATGAAGAAGGATAGAACGACTTGGCGTGAGTTGGTTGAGGGCCTATGCTCCATTGGGGGATAGAAAGGCAGAAGAAGAAGACGTCCGTATCGCTGATAAAAATACAAGAACTGGAAGTAAAGTTGCATGTAGCTGCAGTTTATTCTCACTCAAGGTTCAGAATCCCACATGTACAAATCGCAGTAACCCCTGAAGAGACAGTGAGAGTACACCATTTTTGCACGGCTTATTGTATGTTGATAATGTAGATGGATATGTGAGTCATCCTTGGTTCCGGCAACAACATTAGTTGGCTCTTTAGTCACTCTTCGTGTATCTCACGTCTCTAGATGCTTGAATTGACTTCTGAGGTAATATATATTTATATATATCATCATCATGTAGCAGGTCCTTTGTAGAACGTCGCTCTCATCACTGTCTGCCTGAAAGAAACTCGGTCTCTCGCCAGTTCTCCCGCCTCATGCATATCATAGTCTAGGAGTCACTTATAGCCTGTGCCCATCTTCGTGTTGGTCGGCCCATGCCCCTTCTTCCTGGTACCATGCCTTCTGCTATATATATATATATATATATATATATATATATATATATATATATATATATATATATATATATATATATGGATGTTCTGCTTGACGAAAAATATCTACATAGGAATGTCGCCAGGGCCTGCAGCAATTTTTTCCGAATAACTCCAGTTGAGATACATTTCTCCTCAAAGACAAAATTCACACAATTATATGATTATATATGCTTTCGTTTGTCTTGCATGCTCATCCTTCTGGTTTTTCTGCCTTTTATAGCATGTTCTCGGCTCTAAATGCTCTATTTTGCTGTGCTTTGTGACCTATTAATTCTTCTCAGAAACTTTCAGTTTCATACACGCAGTTTAGTGTCACCGTCCTGTGACGTTGGTGAAGATAACACGAAAAGTCTTTTGAAATGTGTCTGTGTACATTTCTACCGATAAGATTGTACGCTGTCACACTGTTAAAACAAACTTTCCCAACAAAGAGATAGTGAACATCGTCAGTACTGGATATTATCCCCGGCAAGAAGTTATGAATGACATTTTATCAGTTCTGTCAAAATATTCTCTCTGGCGCTTTATAAAAATAAAGAGATCGTTGCTTTTTTAGAAGCATATAGGCCTATGTGACAAGCATGTAATTTAGTTTATCTAAACCATAATTCTATGGTTTGTTTGCTAAGACAGAGTCTAGCATACTTGAGGAACTGGGCCCTTCTATAAATTGAAGAACTGTCTGTAGATTAGCTGCAGAATGGACGCAAGTCCTATTCTGTGAATGTCATTGTAAAGTGTTACACTTCTAAAACAAAAAGGATTCTAGTGTTTACGCAGTCGGACAAGATTACTGTTCTTAAGCTGTGCAGATTGTGGACATTCTGATCTTTTGACCATGGCAGCATTGGCCTTTTCAAAGGCCTTTTGCCTTGGTCTCATCCTCTATCTTTCCCTTTCAGAAGCAAGGTAAACGTTACTTGTCAAAGTGACCAAGTACGGCTGTGTGCAGTAACAAATATTCATTAAATTAAAAGTACAGTTTGTGAAAAGTCAGGAAGATGACATTTTCGTATAATACAATTGTATGCTGCTCATTAAGTGAACCTGTTGAAAGTTCTAAAAATACATATCAGTGATTACAAAATGTTGAAAGGCTATTGTTTTGCCTACATTCTTCTTCTTCTTCTTCTTCTTCTTCTTCTTCTTCTTCTTCTTCTTCTTCTTCTTCTTCTTCTTCTTTTCTTCTTCTTCTTCTCTTCTTCTTCTTGTTATTATTTTTATGAATCATTCCGTTATGCCAATAAGCGATTACTAACAAAATAATCCAAGATTTATAACGTAAAAAAAAAAAAAAAACGCGCTTGCGCACGCACATACACTAGACTGTTAATGTTGTTAATGTTAATAAATATGAATGTAGAAACAATCCACAACACATTCTTGACTAGATACAAAATGAAGACAACCGTATACTTTACACATCCACCAACAAAAGGACAACATAGTCTTTTCATGTTTGTTCCAACCCTACCAGCCCCACCCCTTTCCCCAGGATTACAGTTGTAGGATTAACATCTTAAGGATGAGAATCAAACAGGTACATATCTCACATCCCCTTCAACTGTTAAGCCATATAGCACAGTTATACTGAGGCTCCACAAAACGGTTACCAGGTAAACCAGTAGTCCAGCGTGTGTGTGTGTGTTGCAGCTAAATACTTCTTGAACGTAAGCTGCCCCAAATTAACTGTTTTATACGGTTGTGCGGAGATTCTTGGAATTCCTCCTGTTAGATTCGCATTCGAATAGGGACTCCTTCTTGAGTCACTGCAGTCACGGAGATGTGCTAAACGACAAAGTTTATTATTTATCGAAAGGGAGAAGTCACTACGTCAATAATAAATTCCCTTACCAGCTCAGACCTGCAGGATAGACCAGACTTACTGCAGACTTAACATGGTCTTTTTTAAAAAATCTTCTGGTGTGTAAGAAACAAGATTCCACTTGTAGATTTGTGTGAACCTTTGTAGTCAGACAGGTGACATTTCTATTCTGTCTCAAAGACGGGACGTGTATACTGCTAGCACACACCTGTTCTTGCTGTGAGTGCGTGTTACAGTGTGTGGATGCCTACAAGAGAAAGAGAGAGAGAGAAAGAGAGAGAAGAGAGAGAGAGAGAGAGAGTGAGATAGATACAGACAGACAGACAGACAGAATACACCAGGTGTAGCTGTTACGAGTGGCTCAGTATATATATATATTTTTAGTGATTGAATGGGGTATCTGGGACTTGCCCTGTTGGCTGGCTTCCAGAGAGAGATTTTGCAGTCTCAGGGTGGTCGAACCTTCGGGTAGCGGCGGGGAGAGAAAACAACTGGAAGGATGGTCCTGCGTGGCTGTACTGAAAAGTGAACATGTGAAGATGATAATATTCACTCTTACCTCACAGTGCACCCACTACAAACACCACCACCCACACACCCTCATATAAATTGTGATATTACGTAACAACAACAAAAATCAGGGTGACAATCACTGATTTCTACCTGAAAATAACTTGCTTGTATTTTATATGCAGTGTGTGTGTGTGTGTGTGTGTCAAATATAGAGTACGTAGCATAAGCAGTTACAATAAAATCTAACAGAACGATTTCATTAGAAATGGAACTAAAAAATGACGAGGTTCATTTCACGGAAGCAAAAGGAAAAGAAATGCACAGATTGTGGAGGAGCTGGAAATGAAAATTGACATACTTATTGAAAAGGAAATACACATTAGCCATTCTTGCTGCATTAAAGAACAAGCAACACTTATAATAATCTTATATGCATCGCCAAGGTAAGCACGAGCTGGGGTTTGTCAGAATAAGCAACACATTTTTTGTGACCGAAGCCAGTGTTCTTCAACACATGGGCCGTGGCCCACTAGTGGGTTGCGGAAAAGTCCAGTTGGTTCGCAAAAAAATTTCGACCTTATCGTATAGCTGTGTTGGTGGGGGGGGGGGGGTGTCTCTTCCAGGATTGCAAACTGTAGCATTAACACTGCAATAATGAGAATCAGACAGGCACCGGTGACATTCAACACAAGTCAGCATTTAAAGACGTTAGCTTTCACACTAGCTGAACACTGTAATTGTGTGACATTATATTTAACAAGCTTTAACCTGCCATCTACATTTGTTTTCGTGTTAGGTTGGCTGTCAGGTGGGCCGCGAAACAATTTCCATAGTTTTGGTTGGCCACGGGTGTGAAAAGGTTGAGGAACACTGATCCAAGCCAACCTTTATGTTGTGTGTGTATGTGTGTGCATGTGTATGTGTGCGTGGGAGTTTGTTTTCAGACTAGTTATTATTGCTGTAAATATAGATCATATATGTTTTCTTAAACATGCTGCATTATTTTATTGTTTCCGCTTTTCAGGTCCCCACGAAGTAGAAGAGATGCAACTGAAAGTAAGTTTACTCAAGCAGTTGTCTATATTGGCTAACAGACAAAAAGAAAACAGTGTGTGCACGGGGGAAAAAAAAGAGGCAAAGATGGGGGGGGGGGGAGGGGGAGGGGCTTCGCCGCCTTTTAACTTTCTAGGTGGGAGACCGTTGAGGGCAACTTCTTAAGCATTGTTTAAATGCATAAAAATTATAATATAAAGAATAATAATTATTATTATCATCATCATCATCATCATCATCATCATCAGGTGCCTTGGCGACTGGCGTGGGCGATCATGCCTCTCCATAATCTGCGATCTCCTGCAGCATGTATCAGTTCGTGTGCCGACACACCTCCATGCCATTCAACAAGACTGTCAAGCATCTTCTCTCGTTGTCTTCCTCTATCTCTCCTTCCACAGATCTTTCCAGTGGTCACAACATGTTCTATTTTCCCTCTTCTCATAACATGGCCGAAAAATGATAACTGTCTCCTTCTGATGTCTGTGATAAGTTGTCTTCGGGCTCCCGCCTCTTTCAAAACCTCTTGGTTGCTTTTTTTTTTGGCTGTCCAAGGTATTCTAAGCATTCTTCTGTAAAACCATATCTCCGAGGCCTCCAAAAATTGTTTGGCATGCCTACCGATTGTCCAGGATTCACAGCCATATGTTAAAACTGGATGTATGTAGCAAGCAAGATTTCTTCTTCTAACTCTCAATGACAAGGATATATTGCACAAGATGTTTTTCATTTTATAAAATGCAGTTTTTGCCTGTCCTATTCTATTTCTTATCTCAGTTATGCATCTTCCATCTGATGTTATCCATGTGCCCGGATACATAAAGTTCTGTACTTGTCTTAAAATAACACCATCAACTTTTATTACACACTTAGGAATAATTCGTTTCTTTGATATCACCATTACTTCTCTCTTCCCATTATTCAAACTGAGGCCCATTCTTCCACTTTCTAACACCACAATGTCTATCATTTTCTGTAGTTCTTTCTGACTTGTTGCTATCAAGACTGTGTCATCAGCATAACGTAAATTGTTTATGTTGTACCCACCAACCACAATTCCGGGCATACCAGTTAAAGCTCTCATTATATATTCACTGTATATTGAAAACAATTATTATTATAGTTATTATTATTACATGCCAAATAGCCAGTAAATATCAATATGTTTGAAATAATATTATATTTATAAACAAAAACTTACAAGAGAACATTTGTTTACTCTTGGTTGATGGTCACTTAGCGCTTTTGCCCATTTTCTAGAGTGGGAAGAAGGAAGGGATCGCTCCTGTCCGTAACATTTTCTTAGGAAAGGGGGAGGGGTGGGTGGCTCAGGGTGTCTGAGATCCTCAATTCCGGCGCTCCTGACACAGAACGTTTTTAACAAAAATTAGTTGCAGGTCCTTTACACGAGGTTGCAAGCCGAATATGTTATTTATTGGCTTTTTTTAAAGGGTTTAATAGGAAGTATTGCGTTCAGTAGTTTGCCTTTGCTTCCCCGTGAGCGGCGCTCCCTACATTATAGAAACTAAAACCAACGCAAGGTGGTCTGCTACCGAATTACCCGTAGACACATAAGCGTTGCTCTCACTTCAACTGACGGCCTATTTGATTTTTTTTTTTCTAGTGTTTCTTAGGTCGACTCTTGTTCTAATCTCTAATGACATTGTTCCTTAAATGTTTTAGAATCAGCTGTTTTTAGATATCGAAACACACGCGCGCCCTTCCCCCTTTTCCCAACCCCCCACACATAAAAGAGTGTGTGTAGGTAGTTAGGTAAGTTGTACCCCTAAAGGACATCACACAGGCGATAAACACCCGGTGACACAACGTGCCACCATGCGGATGAGGATCACCCGTGGAGAGGTCCCGGAAACCTCGTTCAGCCATTAGACCATGTTTAAGGCCCGGCTATATCTGGGAGCTTCGGCAAAAGCCGAAGTGGGGCTTCAAAATTACAACAACAACAAAATTGCACCCCACATGGGGACGACTGAACTACTAAGAGAATTTGTGCTAAATAGTCGTACTGTGTCATCATTATCGCCATAAAATGTCCTACCAACAAATCCCCATTTCAAAGTCTTCGTTAGAATGCATCACTGATGTGACAGTTTTCCCCCGTGCTTGAATAAACAGTTGTCCATAGTTTATTACAATGGTTCCAGTTTGATGGTCAGCAGAAAAAAATAAAGGGGTGCGTGAGATCATTAAAAACAAAACACACAGAAAACCTCCATCAATTCCAGGGCAATCTTAAAGGCATTATGGGCCCCCTGGTACACCAATGTGCGGGATCTCCTACGACAATCTCTCAGAGGAATAAAATGTTGACGGTCGATAATATGATTTGATGTGATTCAAGAACCGACATCACAGAACTCGGGGCATTCCCATAAGCGCTCCGTCCCCATTCTTCAGCAGCCAACGAAGAGTTCCGATACTAATGGTGCCAGTAGCATTCTGATTAAACGTCCGTCTTGCCTGTTCCCTGAGCTTCGAGCTTCTGCCAGAACTTCTCGTCACCCCCAACTGCATCAATCTCACCACACTGTGGTGATCAATCTGCTCCTCTGAACTGTACAAGTTTTCCCACAAGGCACTAACCACGTCTGCATTATCATGAATCAGTATTCCACCAAGCTGTGCTGAGCCACCCAGTCTGTCCGCCTGTTCATTTCCCAACACACCCGCTTGCCCTGGTGAAAAAATTCAGACAATACTCACCCGTGTCCTCCGCAGCGAGGCATGCTACTGTGCACGAAGCATGCCTGTCCCAAAATTCCTCAGCTTGCTTTCTGTTACAATCACGATGTGTGTGTATGTGTCGTGTTATCTAGCCAGCGGAAAGCTGCAGTTGACCTCCTCCACCTCCATTCTTAAGCTGGATGTGGTGGTATCATATGCTAGGCTCTCCTGCACCAATCATCGACCAATAACTTTTGCTAAGAAACCCCAAGCACTTTTTTTGCCTCTTGACACTGAACCGTCTGTGTAAATGATCAAATCTTCTAAGCTAGCATTAACTTGAATTAATTGCTGAATTTCCACCTCTGTGGCACCTACTGGCCAGTCTCTGCATTCCCGGCTCAGTGTGATTACGACCCTACACAAGCATGGCTGTTCAGTAGCACTTTAACCCACTTCTCTCCGTCGCCTAATGTTCTCAAGGATGCAAACCTGTCTGATTGTGTCTTCTGCCTGAGCCATCCATGACTTCCCTCTTATCAACCGCTGACCCTTAACTGCACTTAGAACGCAAAGGGTGGTCTGTGTCTGCAGCTACCCTGAGATATAACTTCGTCTGCAGCACCTTGTGCCTACCTGCAACGGTCGGCAAACCAAGGATGTATCGCATACACACCACTGGGGTGTCTCTGGTGCAATCCAGAATGACCCGCATTGCTGCTTTCTGTATGTACTCTAGATTGTCCATCTGCTCTTTGAGATGGTAAGCATTCCCAGGCCATAATCAACAACTGACAGGATCAGGTGCTGATATAGTGTAAAAAAGCATTCTCTGCTCTATGTCAGTTGCAGCCATAGTCTTAAGTGCACCAAGACCTTTTTGGCATCTTGTTATAACACTCTCCAATTGGTCTTTAAGGGACAGGCTCCTGTCAAATGTAATTCCCAGATACTTCAGTTTGCTCTCTCTATTGATGTTTCTACCATCAATCTTGAGACGGGACATTAGCTTTGACGATCCTGTTGTCCAGAGAGCACCACAAAACAGACCCATTGTCCGGGTGGTCGATAATATTAAAAATATATCTATTTTATTGGCACTCTAACATAACTGGGTTACAGTGTAAAGACAGATTAGACAGCACAGTATGAAATTACTAAGAACTTCTTCATGGGAAGTCACTGATATTCACAGATCAGCTTGGAACCCCTAGGTTGGTCGGGCTCCCTGCAAGTGCCAAGCTGGCCCATGCATTAAGACGGACTTAATTAACAATCTATTTTGTGACTTAATCAAATGGCCAGATAATATTCCAAATACTGTAGTTCTTGATAGGGAAAATCTGCCTAGCATCCATACGATACTGAAGATTGATCAGCTGCGCTGGGCTGGTCACACCCATGCCAAAATATCGCCTCCCAAAAAGAGTATGTTTTTGGCGATCCCCAGCAAGGGAAGAAGTCTCATGGAGGACAGAAAAAGCGCTATAAGGACAAGACCGCTCTCAATTCCTTTGGCATTAACACAACGTTATGGGAGGCTGCTGCACAAGACCGTTCTGGATGGCGTACATCCCTCAGGCATTGTGCATCGGCCTGCCAGGCAACGGTGGTTGCACAGGCAGGGAAACGGTGGCACACTAGAAGGAATCGTACTGCTAATCCCACACTTACTGCAGCTTCCATCTGTTGTCCGCACTGCTCAAGAACTTACCTGGCTCATTTGGGAAGAACCAGCCACCTTCGTACTCATAATCATTGATCATTACTACTTTGGAGGAAAGTGGTCTACACCACTCCTGGTAGACGAATAACAATTTTTTTTAACCATTCTAATATAGATTACAATCTTTTCATGTTTTGTTTATTAAAAAATAATTTAACTAATAAATGTATAGGTTTTTTAGCAGAATTTCGAAATAAAATGTTCGCGAGTCTTATCTGTTTAGGAATTAGTTGTCTCGAATATTTTCACGCTGCCTTTCTAGTGTGTTCTAGATGTTAGTAGTGATGTCTCCAAGTGTCAAATGACGTACTGTAACTTTCACGTTTATTTCTAGTTACTCTAACTATTATTTTAAGTGAAAACTGAGAAATGGAACAAATAAAGAAAAAGAATAAATGAATGAATGCTACCGACTAACCCAACAAATAACGGACATAACATTATTAAAAGGAAACTAATAACATAGAACCCTTGTGGGTTCCGGGGCCCTATTAAAGGGAAAACAAGAATAGGCGCACTGTCTACCCAAAAGCATGTCATAAGAGTCGACTAACTGGGAGCTTCCTTCGAAGTCAGAGTGCATCTGCCTGAGAGGCAAGGAACCAGCAATCTGCAAACAAAAAAAAGTCAGATCTGTAAAACGGATGCACACGTAACACTCAGGTTCTCGAACAGGACTGCAGACCAGAACTAGATGAACAACCAGAACTTTCTGCCAGAGTTTACAGCTGGTGAACGCAAAGAAGAAGAGGAAGAATTGAGATGGTGAGCGTTCATGCTGCATGTCGTATGAGGCATACGAATCATTTGGTCAGGCAGTCTGTACAAACGCAATTAAATTGTTGACAAAATATAGGCTAATTATGATATAGATAGTGTCTTTATGGCTTTCGAATGATATAAAAGGTCCTTATTAAATAATATTGTTAAAAGTTATCACACCTGACATAGACAAAAGAAACGGGCGGTAAGAAAGAAAAGTCTAACCATCTATGTTAAATCAACAGAGTGCCCAACTCCAGCGACTCCAGAAAATGGAAATGTTGAATGCCTGCTTGATTCACTAGGCCTTGATGTGTAAGTATCATCGGTAGTATGGTCGTTATCTGATGTATAATGCTAGACATAGGTGCAATGTTTAAATTTTCATGTGACGAAGCTTGTCAAGAAAACTGCGTGCATTAACAGATTTATTGCCTGACTAAGATAAATGCCATTCGCTGCACTTACTGTACCGAAGAGCACGCCAAAGGACATGATTGCGTGTCCCTGTCTAGATTGATGGACATAAGGTACAGTCTTGAGCTGCAAGAAATAAACATTTCACTAACAAGTCAACCTTGATGTAGATGCAAACCTAAGATCTTCGGACAGTCAGATATTTATCTAGTTAAAATTTTACTGAGCTGTTTATTTGTAATTACGGCTGATAAAGTTTCAGTTTCATGTAAAATAATGGGAAGTAAATGCGACAGGAGTTATTTTTATCACATCATTCACCGAGTTCCAATTGGTCTATGAAATATGGGTCTAGCACTATATGCCCGGGAGCCGCAGTGGTGTAGCGGCTAGACACTCGTCTGCAGATCCAAGGGTGTGAGTTCAGGTCAATATGGAACCTGACTTGTGTGTGTGTGACTGTGGCTTCCAGGTCGGCCCAGCCTTAAATGGGTACCAGGTAAAATCCTTGGAAGTAAAGGCGACCGGTGTGATGTTGACACATCACCCACAGAATGACGATTGGTTCATAAAATAAGGTCTAGTCCTATATGCCGGTACGCCTGAAGGCGCGTAAAAGGGTCTTTTACTTTACTATAGACACTGGTTACTGGCTGTCGACTTGCCTGGTTTCGAAAGGTACACAGAGTCAATCCGGAAGACCGGCATGAGACCTGACATAGTACTGCACTCGGCGGAAAAACGCCAGCTCATCTTGATTGAGCTGACCATGCCGTACGAGTCGCGGAAGAAAATAACATTTATAAAATCGAAAGATATTGTGAGCTCGTGGCCGGTCTGAGGAGAGACGAAGCGTACGCAGTAAAATCCGCGCCGTCTAGGTAAGCGCAAGAGGTCTTGTCTCCACTTCCACGTACAATGTTCTAAAGCAACTGGGCTTGAGAGGAAACGAGAGTTAACGGTCACTTAAACATCTGGGCGAAGCTGCTGAAAGAGCTTTAAACTGGCTTTGGACACAATGGGACGTCGTGGGGGATGGGCCTGGATAGACTGGTCGAAGTCCCTAGTCGAAAAGAACTTCTTATCTCTTCAAAGTCAAAGTGTCAGATAAATGTCTGCCGCTGTGTCTCTTCCAAATAAAAAAAGTCGAACAATTGTCCGATGAACCAACCATAAGCTTGTCACTCTGGTCGGAAAGATAGTCAACTGATTTAATTTTCTACCGCAGTGACAGTATAACACCAAATCCCACAGCATCTGTTGCAAAGTCACCATATCGTCTTGTCCCTGTCTAGTACGATAAAGTGCAGCAGGGGAAGATCGAGGCCTTGAGTCATGACCATCCGAGACTGTATAGGAAGTAATGAGCCGAAACAATCGTCGACGAAGGATCTTTCTACAGATGATGGTAGTCCCCTACTGTGCCTGCTCCCCTGTGGAGTTTTCTTATTATTTTATTTTAACATATTTTTTTCGGTGTCTAGTGTATCCACCATTAACTGTGTTGCCTCGGTTTAGTGAACACGCGATTTTTAAGTTGTTCAGAGAATTTTGTTGTTGTTGCGTATCCTTTACAAGACGTTGCAGAACCAACCTCAGCACTTTCTGGCTGTTCTGGTTTTTCTAGGCAAATTTACTTCCAGTAGTTTGCCATGGCTCTCTGAACGGTCAGCTCTCGGTACCACGGTAGAAACCATCGCAAGACAAAACGTCTGCAGCAGGGATCGAACCCGGCACCCCGACATTACGAAGCGCGTTCGCAACACCTAAGCCACAGACGCCGACAGTTCAGTGATAGTAGTAGTAAATTGCACAAAGTATCCTGTTCAACCCTCCTGTTCCGAGGATTGTAATTGGGATGTATAGTATTAATTCAGTTCTCATAGTATACACAGCCTATTTCTTTTTATTTATCGTTAATTTATTTATTTTATATTTGTGCTTTTTTTTTGTATTATTTGAGGGGGAAAAAACATTTTTCCGTTCACACCTTTTTGTGCTGTGCCAACTGTATAAATTGTACACTGGATATTTAGATAATCTTACTAACACTATGTCAGTAAAATATTGGATTAAGTAGGCCCTTGTCTATCCATTGATCGTCCTCTTTTAGAATTAGAAGTCATTATCTTCAAAGATTGCATGGACCTTTCCTTACACTTCAGTATCTGAACTGTAATGTTTAGAGATGACGGGCTGAAGTAACACACAGGCTAGCAACTCTGCCCGCCGGCTCATGATGTCTTATAACCAGTTAGAGCGAGATTTTAAAATGAAAGAAAAGGGCCTAACTGCTGGGCAGATCCAGCCTAAAATGGGTACTAGAGAATATCGCAGGAAGTAGAGACGTCCTGTGTGATAATAACCACATCACACACTATACGTCGATTAATCTATAGTACATATATCAAATTGTTTGGCCCGCCCTAAACTTTTAAACTAATGAGGGAAAAAAAAAGGTCGCTTCGCTCCCCTCCCCCCCCCCCCCCCTCCAAAAATATATCTTAAATAATCGAACACACAAACACAAATAGTGATAAGATTTAAAAAAATAATCATGGCGAGCTTATTCCTGAACACATTAGATGAAATAAAATACCGACAGTTTTTCAGACAACTTAGAAAAAAATTTCATCGCAACCTTACCATTTGCACTTTAGCCTACTACTTTGAGATGGTCGTTACATACACCCCTCCCAGGCTACGACAGGTATGTGGTCAACATCACCCAGGCCGCCTTTACTTCCAATTACTTTGCCCATTCCAGGTTAGTAGATCTGGGAGCCAAGGTCATGTATGAAAAAAAAATCTAGTTACATGTGGTTTTGATCCCATGATCTTCCTATCCACAGCTGAGCATCCATCCACGGCGACTCCCCTCCTAATTGGGACCCCCCTGGGACCCCCCCCCCCCCCACACACACACACACACACATACACACATTTGTCGATATTGACTTTTGGTTATTTGTGCACAGATTATAAACACAACATATTGTAGAAAAATGAATTGTTATGTTTTATATGTTTTATTTGTACTTTTCAAATAATTCCGTTATTATTGAATGTGTACAGTAATTAGAGGGATGAAACTAGTCTGATGATTGATTGTACGGCTGCGCGTGCGTCACAACATCGTCTGCTAGAGACTCTCTCATGTTGTGGAACTGGAAATTCGCCAGGTGTTTAAAAAAAAATCAAATGACCAAATACACGGTTCGTGTATTATTATTGACATATATAGAATCTGTGATAAAAAAGTCACAGATGAAATTAGTTGAATGAACTCAAGCCATTCTTTGAACTGACTGCAGTTAGCACTTGTCTTTTACCATTAGGGGTGTATGTACAGTTATAGTGGTTTTAATTACATTTTTTTTTTCTAGGTGAAATAAAACTTCTACTTAATGGAGCTGTGAAAATGAAATCCAACTATCCTAGTTGAAACCAACGTTAGTCACGACTTATTGGCGGAAATATTTATTTGTGTTTGAATTACCTACCTGTTTCTAATACAACTTACCTTATTGTTTATATTGAGATGTACGTGGGCTAATACGGCTGAATAGTTTCTGAAACATCAATATGTTAGCAGGCATTTATTAAGCACAACTGAAATCACATCTAGACACAGCAACATCTATGGTGAACGTGTCTAGTCGTTCGTTGTGCTTTTCAAACGTTGTGGTTTTTTTAAGACTATGTCTAATTTAGTTCACCAGTGCATGTTTTGTTTAGACATTCACCACACCCTCAATTTTGTTACAAGAGCCACAGAGTTGATACTTTGTGCAATGCTCTATGCATATGATAAACTGTTCTGCAGCGAGAGAGAGAGAGAGAGAGAGAGAGAGAGAGAGAGAGAGAGAGAGAGAGAGAGAGAGAGAGAGAGAACCATATGGAATAAAACTTTGGCAGTGAAGCGGATACTCTTTCCTTCAACTCTTTTGCTACCAAGCAGGTGTTACAGTAACTCTTCTGTTAAGTAATCACAGTTTGGGCCTGGAGAGTTGAAATAATAGCATTACAGAACATGAGAGTAAGAACTGAGGCAGTGGTTGAGTGTCAAAAATGGAGCTTCAGTATATTTAGAGGAGAGTATTTAAATGCTTGTATAAAATTAGACAATTAAATATTTCATTTTAATTCATAATTATTTTAACCTTTTCCAAACCCCACTAATTGAGGCTACTTCTTCAACATAAGGCTAGTTTAGATGTAAAATACACAAATCATTGAGGAGGATGACAGCTAAAAACTGCATGTAAACAATCAGCCGGTAGGCACATTTGTGCAACATTGCAACTGTTCAAAGGGATGAAAAGTTTTAAAGTAAATAGTTAACCTAATACTTGTTAACCGCTTAGCAGGCCAAATTTTATTGCTTTTAAGTGTATTTTCAGTCAACGCTCTAGGAGTGAATGTCAAACTGGCCAAGATGTCAGCTTGCTCAATGACTAGTGGAACCTACACATTTATAGCACATATGATTCTAGTATAGACATATTTAGATCTTCACTGCTGCTGTGGATTCTGTGCAGTGTGTTGAGATTCTCCTTGTGTGCATTGTGTGAGAAGACTGGCTCACATAGAGCATAAAACCCAGCATAAACCATTGTTTGCATTTCATATTATGAAATGTTTTATTTTCTATATCCTCAGGTATTGTTCAATTAGTTGCAAGAGTGGCTATGCCTTTGAAGGCATTACTGATACAGACCTTCTGTTTGTATGCGATGTGAATTCTGGATTCAATGAGGATCCAGTCACTCCACCATGCATTGGTAAAAACAAGCATTGTCGCCATAATAAAATGTTTGCCCTGTTTGTCATATTAACACATTAATTACTGGAATAGAACACACTTTATGAATGTAATTTACTTACATTCTCCCATAAAAAATTCACACATATCTTCATGATTTGTTTCTCAGCAGGCCAGTGTTTTAGCATTTGAAAAATTTTGTTTCTATGGTAGTTGAAGCTCAGTATATGTGTGTATGTGTAATTATGCTGTTGGTGTATGATAGTGCTTTTAAATATATTTGACCTGTTTTTGCTTGTTGTGTCCAAAGTTAAACACCATTATTAATTAATAACATTGCAATCTACAGCACAGTGCACCCTGCCTTGCCTCAATAATGGCACATGTGTGGCACCAAATAAATGTGAGTGTGTGGGAAACTGGCACGGAGTTCAATGTGAACACAGTAAGTGATGTTCAGTGTGCCACAATTGTGTCTATTGTTAACTCTTTCAGGCCCATGAATTTTGACAGACTTGGCCCACATTAATTTCCCTTTACAAAAATGGCAGAGGGGTGGGTGAACAAGAAAGGCTGTAGAGATTGTAATATACTTCTAATCCCTACAACAGTATATATTTTTTAAACGAGAAATGAGTGTACATTCTGAATCTGATGATAAGTGTTTGTTTAATTTTGTTATAGTTAGTGGAAAAAAGAAGAATTCAGCAGGTGTTAATTTCACAAGGACAACATTTCACAGAAAAAATTCTTCACTTACCATGGTTTTGCAGCCACAAGAATAGTAAATATCCAAATGTGAGAACAAAACTTCAAAGTTTGTTCAATTTCCTAACATATTCTAAAGTTATGATAACTTTCTGGGTTAGTTTATCACTCAGGGGCTCTTAGTTCCCACCGAAAGCTAAGCAAAATTTCAGAGAAAAAAATGGCAGAAAAATGAGCCATAACACACACACTATTTACTATTCACTTTGTACAGTTATTTACAGACTGTAGCTGCGATGATTTCAATGTAGCTTAGCCATAGTATAGTACTATCTCTTTGTTTAGAGCACTTTCCTTCTCTTACACCATAAATACGGTAGTATGGGACATTGTCTGTGTAATAAACTCGTCAGAATCGCTAGATTCCGAACAGCTGATCGCTCAGCTTCACTGGTGAAAATTCACTGTCTTAATAACTTTCCGAAAAATCTAAATTTTTATTATCATTATCACAATTAAAAACATCTGACTGAAACAATTTCAGAGCTTTGATCGCAGAAAGACGCATTCTGCGACCTGTTCTTGTGGTTAGAACATTAGTATTCAGTGCACTCAAAAACGAACTTAGAAAATAAACTGTTAAAAAAATTTTGATGTTTTTTTCTCTCAAATTATCCACGTGTGGTTTAGTCCAAGAAGTGAAACTAAAAGGATTTCGGCAGAGTGACTTTCCCTGAATAGGTTATTCGTACCTCCAAACATTAGAAACTAGTACGAACGCGCATGCGAAGCAAAATGTAAGAGATACATGATTAAGGATGACACCGTTGTTTGGGCAGAACGGAACTTCTCAAACTTTGCTCACACCATTGTTTGGGCCTTAAAGAGTTAATAGTTAAAGGGCAGAGCTGCTGACATTATTCTGAGATGAGATTTTTCTGGTTCAGGACTAGGCATGGCAGAATGTTTAGCTTCAGAGTTATTTTTTCCTACAGAGCTCTTGCTCATGCAGTTTCCACATATGTACGGAAGTTTTACTGCATGAGCTGCTTTTAGTGCTAAATGTAGCACTGTGAGCTGTGTTTTTCATGTGGGATGTCTGTCATTTGTGCAGGGGTTGAGTCATGGTATTCAATATGGCGGGTAGCCTGTTTACTTGTGGGCCATATGTAATAATTTTACATGTTTTAAGACGACTTATTGTGTCCAGCTATTTCCATCAATGACAAACTGTATTTCTGGGGATGACTGTTGACTTTGGCAGCCCTAGCAACTGCCATTTGCATTTAGTGCATGCAGATATTTCTGGATTGTGCCAGGATTAATTATTTGCTCATCAGTTTTTCAAATGGGACAGTGAGGTATAATTGATTTGATTTTCCAGCACAGTATGAGGTAACCTAGTTGCAGTGAAGTTGAAACCACGACTAAGATTAATTCTGAGGCTTTACTATGATCATCCTAACTTTGACAGGACTGCAAGGGCAGTGCTTGGTGTAGCCGTTGTGAGTTTACTACGTAATTGGAACTTTCTAGATTTGATTTGATTTGATTCAAGAACCGATATCACAGCACTCGGCGCATTCCTATAAGTGCTCCGTCCCCATCTCCAGCAGCCAGCAAAAAATTATGATACTAATGGGGCTAGTAGCATTCTGATTAAACGTCCGTCTTGCTTTTCCTCTGAGCCTCGAGCATCTCTCGTTACTCCCCCCCCCCCCCCCCCCAGCCCTCTGCATCAGTCTCACCAGACTGTGGTGATCCATTTGCTCCCTTAAACTGTACACGCTCTCCCACAAGGCACTAACCACGTCGTCCTTATAGAACTTTCTAGGAAGCTGATAAAGTGTCCTGGATCTCCCTTATTGAACTGCCACCCAGTACGTACCTCTCTGTGTTGCAGTAGTGGTCAGTCCTTCAGGTTACAGGGTTTTTTTGTTTGCTTGTTGGGTAGCTAGTGAGCTTTTCTTTAATAATTTCTTTATTATGTTTATTCCCCCTTCCTGTTTTTTGTAAAGCTCTAAGTAATCTGCTTCTAGAAGTTTTTTAACATATAGGAGCTCATATGACCCCCATTTTTAATACCTTGTGGGTGTGTGTGTGTGCATGCATTGGTGGGTGGGTGGTGCATGTGTGTGCACGCGCCTACCTGTGTGTGTGTGTGTGTGTGTGTGTGTGAAGAGGTAATAAACACGTTCAACACATATACACATGTGTATGAAATAGGGCTGTACCGAATAGTGATTTTCACTATTTGGCCGAATACAAATAGCTGGACCCACTATTCAGCCGAATACGAATACGAATAGTGAATCATCATCATCATGTACTTTGCCGGCTGGCATGGGCGATTATGCCTCGCCACAATCTGCGATCTCCTGCAGCACGTTAAAGTTCGTGTGCTGACACACCTCCATGAAAAAACTTTGTTCCATGTTGTCAACATTTTTGTCTCACTGAAGGTATTTCCAGCTGTACTAAACAGGAAAATACGACAAATACAGAGAGTCAAGATGAAAACCCGCAAGGCGAAACATCAAAAACAAAAATAACGCCGATGAAGAAAACAATGCCGTCCTCACAAGTCGCCCGCCCCACGAGCTCAACGGAAACAAAATCGCGACATCAAAGACCACCGCGGCCACAGAGAGGGACACCGCCGAGCAGCCAACATCTGAAGATCACATAACGAAGAAATCCGTGCAGACGAAGAAACCAGACGCCGAGCGGCCAACACCAGAAGATCAAACAACAAATGAGACAATGATAGAACAGTTATGACACCCACAAACATAAATGATGATGAACTCCCGTTACTTCAAACAATCAACGAAGAGGACACTCCACTCAAAGAAATCAAGCTGACAACACTAGAACACTTGCTTTTCTGCCCCTCTTACATTATCAAGTGTTGCATTTTGTTTCTACAGCAACACACCTAAAAACACTATATTCGCAACACATACAAGATGGAAATAAAGGGGTAACAACCCCCCAACAAAATAACAAAACAAAAAAAGACGTTCACTTGGTACGCTCGTAGGTGGTGCACAAAGATAACGCTTGACAGTATAAACCAAGGTGGGAAATCTTGATGTTTTTTTTCCACCAGTCCAGAAACGGTTGTGAGGTAACCACTATTCGTATTCGGCCCAACCGCAACTATTCGGCCGAATACTGAATAGTTATTGGGTCCACTATTCAGCTCCGAAGCGAATACGAAGCGAATATTCAGTACAGCCCTAGTATGAAATTACATACACTGTAGACCTGCATATGTTTCATAAACACCTTTACTCCCTTATTTCCTTTTAGTACTTTTTTTTTTTCTGATTCAGAATTTGTCACTTTGTATTGCTCTACTTTAGATTCTTAAAACAGAGAATTTTCTAAATAAATACAGTCATATTTACTCAGGATGTGTGTACTTTAACTTCTCTATTACATAGTTCCTGGTTTTATTAATGTCAGTTTTCTTGTTATCCTCATAGATCAGATACTTTGTGCTGACCCAATACCTGGACGGTTTGGCATAGTTGACTGTGTGCCTGACAATAAAGGAGGTAAAGTTTGTGTTCCACACTGCTATCCAGGCTTTATATTTGAGAATCTACCCCCACTGCAGTATGCTTGCAGCAAGGATGGCATATGGACTCCAGATGCAAGTAGGATTCCAGATTGTATTCAAGGTTGGTACCCTATTCAGTCTAAAATAGCAGAATGTTCTCACATATAATATGCTAGAAGTACTACCATTTTTAATATGTTAATAGTACATTTTAGAGCTAGGAACCTTTTGATGCATTTTAATTTAGACACAATTTATTTGTTTATTAGCCTGAGATCAGTATATAAGCAAGGCATGTATATGAACAACTGAGCAAATATTTTGATGGCTATAATTAAACTAAAAATATTATTGGCTTTTTTAACCTCTGTTTAACCTATACTTAGTTTTAGAAACTTCTTTAATGAACATTTGGCAATAGAAAAAGTTAACAAAGAAACCAGTTCTAAATTACTTATCAAATCCACACACAAAAATTGGCACCTAAATAATTTATGTTTACTACAATATTGCATGAAAGGGTTAGTAAAGTACAGCATATTACACATAAAATTAAAGGTAATTAGACTGGCATTGCAAATCTGTTGACTTCTTTCATAGTGTATGTTTAGTTAAGGTTTCATTCAGCGTTAAGTGATGTTTACAAATATTTGTTAATATGTGTCACATATAATATGTGCAGTCTAAACAATCATTTTCTATTTAATTCATCTTATGTCTTTATATGTGTGGTGGAGAGGGGGGGGGGGGGGGGGGGGGGGGGAGTTGAGTTCCATGAGATAATTAGTCACCTGTGAAAGATAGTTAAACAATTTTAATATGAAGGTATGTACATTTTTAATATGAAGGTATAATTTTTATTTTCTGAGATTCAAACAAATGTTATATGTTGGTATTTTCAGACATGGCCCACACGGTTGCCCCAGTTACAGGTAATGTGTAATGTATATCAATGTGTGAATCTTCAGACTGGTTTGTGTGTGGTGTCTTAAAATGGTTTTATTTGATTTATCATCAAGGTGTTATGTATCTATCATATGTTGATATCAACATGAGATGCAAGCTTTGAACCCCCTGAGTCCCAGAAGGTTAGCACCAGAGACCCAAGGGGTGGTAATGCAATTTTTTTATTTCACAAGTGTAACATATTAAAACACACTACCGTGCAACATACATTTATTATACATCAAAGTGACAAGGGATTGTTGGGGAGGAATAATAGAATACTGCTACAACAAATAATTGCGTTTGTAGTTAAATATTGGTAAATAAATAGATGGTATGTTTACAGAAATTAGCAAAATAAAATAATAATTTTTCCAATTACCACTAAGGCGCTCAAGGAAAACTCTTTAAAATATATCCAAAATGAATCACAAATTAACAAGAAACACTTAGTAATGTATAAGTAAAATATAAAATCAATCTGTACATAAGATCTTGTTCTAAAGAATCTTTTGAAGCATTATAACAGAGCACCATTCTTTGATAAAGAGAACTGACTTCCCAAAATAATTAGTAACTTCACACATGTAGGGGAAAACAGCTTTTGTGCTCCTGGGATATTCTTGGCTATGCTGAGGAGTGAACTTGTACCCCTTGCAGGTTTAACAAAATCAGATAGGACTTGGGGGGGTGGGAAGGATCAACCAAATTAGCCCCCTAATCCAGGTGTTGGAGTGGGAGGGGGGAAGAAGTTGCTGGACAAGGAGTTCCCAGCTCATTACTATAAAAAAAAACCTAGTTATGGAAACGGGAGCAAGAGAAAACATTACACCACCAGAAAGAAGTATGACAAACCAGACAACTCATGAGATGATTTTTGGTGATCAAAGCTCAAAGGAAATCAACAACCTGATTGTAAATCTCTACAAAGAACAATGGAAATGCAAGCGACAGGGAAAATGACCAACAGAGTAAGTATGTAAATGTTACCCCACCAGGACATCACACAGAGCGATAAACACCCGATGACACAAAGTGCCACCATGCGGATGAGGATCACCCAAGGAGAGGTACCAGAAACCGAGCTCAACCGTCAGGCTATATAGCGACCCCTGGCAAAAGTCAGGGTTCATTCATTCATTCATTCAGTAGCATGTCCTTCGCGGAACCTCGCTGCCATAACAACCCTCCGGAAAACCTTCCTATCCTGAGCAAGATGTCCTGCATCTGATACACCCATCTGGAGATCATCTGCCACATCCTGCACCCATCTTCTCCTTGGCCTTCCTCTTCCTCTCTTCCCAGGCATATACCCCTCCATTATTGTTCTCTCTAGACTTCCATGACGTTTCAAGTGACCAAAATATTTCAATTTTCTTTGTTTTATTGTCTTTACTAGCCAATCCTCTTCAATATTCAGCTCTTGAAGTATGGATGCATTTGTTCTTTTCTTTACCCAAGATATTCTTAGAACCTGTCTGTAACATTTATATTCAAATGCATTTATGCGCTGTTCCGCTTGTTTAGTAAGTGTCCAGGTCTCACAGGCGTATGTTGCAATGGGAAAGATGCATGCTCTTAAAAATCTGACCTTTGTAGTTCTATCTGTACAATTCCATAATTTATTCAGTTGTTTTAGTCTTTGAAGAGCAATTGATAGTCGCCGTTTAATTTCTTTCATTGTGTCACCATTGTTGGTAACCAGTGACCCAAAATATTCGAAATTTTCCACCACTTCCAATCTTTCCTCATTAACATATATTTCCTTCTCCATGGCAGTTTTGTTTGTATGCATTAAAGTCAGGGTTGGGCTTCAAAATAACAAAAAAAATTGCATGACCAACAGAGGGAAAAGATGTGACTATTGCAAAACTAAATTATAATAATTAGAGGAACACTATAATCTCATAAAACAGTCCAAAAAGTTATGTGGCGATCTCCAAATCGAGCACTGTCTGGAATGTTGTAGTTATGCAGCTCATATGACTTCTTTGGAACAACTCAAGAAGTCAGGCACAGAAAGAGAGTTACTTCCCTTGACATTCATTCCTGGTTGTGTGGTATGGCCTGTCCTATTTTGCAGGTTTGTCACGCTTAGTGAGCATCCAGCAACACAATGTATTTTATGTGTTGTTATCATAGGCTGCATGCAGTCGGGGTATATAGGCTTCACTCTCTCTTGGGGTGTAGGCTGAGGCTGTGATATAAGGGGGTTTGGTTTAGGGCCAGTTCTACATGTTTTGGGACCGTTATAACCACTCACATCATGGAATATAGACCACATGATATCGCAGCTGATGACAACACCGCTCAAAATTCGATGTATCGCTGAACGCTCACCAAGCATGAAAACCCCACAACATAGGACAGGCTCTACAATCACAACCAGGGATGAATGGCAAGGGAAGACCCTCGCTTTCTGGGCCTGAGTTTATGAGTTCTAGCTTTCATTTTATAAAATTCATTTCTCTTGTTATCATTTTCATTTACTATTCCAGTTGGCAGGATTACAGTTGAAGCTGTGTGTGCTGCCTGGGGTACGAACCATTATCGGACATTTGATAACAAGGTCTACAACTTTGAGGTAAATTACAGCAACTGCAATCCTTCAGCTAAGTTGACTATTTAAAAAACAAGTAATGAATCCTGTTCATACCATTGTCAAATTAGGCATATGATGCTAGATCAATATTTGTATAGACCAAGTAGCACTCAGTGGGCTCGATGATCAACATCATGCCATGTTAACTGATTTTGTAGCTAATTATGTTGTGCTGTGGCACTAATTATTTATTATATTTAATAAAGAAGTAACCAAAAAATTACTGTTTAATATTAAGTCTAAAGACTTCTAAAGTAGCATATAACATATAAACATGTATATACATACTCTGTCTCTGTCTCTGTCTGTCTCTGTCTCTCTCTCTCTCTCTCTCTCTCTCTCTCTCTCTCTCTCTCTCTCTCTCTCTCTCTCTCTCTCTCTCTCTCTCTCTCTCTCTCTCTCCAGGTTTTCAGAATTCAAAAAGGATAACAATATATATATATAATTAAGTGAAATGTATAAACTTACAGGGACACTGCCGGTACACTATGGTGTCTGCACCAAATAGCTTTGAGATAATGCTGGTCAATGATCCTGCTTGTACAAGTGGAAGTGCCTGTAACAGATGGGTAGAAATCTTCCAAGGTGATGATATCATTTCTCTACACACAGGAACAAATGGTCCTGAAGTCACATGGAATGGTCAGGTAAGAAGCATTTTGTCATTTAAATGTTTCACTGTTGTTAAGTCTGGAATAAAAATACAGCTAAATAGCATGTTTTTTATTCAAATTAAAGCAATGTTAGTAATGTTTATATCCCTGCTGGAACTCATTCCATCCAGAATAATGTACTTATGGTAAGAATTGTTGTATCTTAATGGCCTAAAATAATACAAACTTTTAGACAGGACTTTAAAATTAAAAACTGGGATACAATGTGTTATGGGTTAATGTAATGGAAGATTGGGGGCAGAAGAAAAAAAAGAAACAAATTTCATGGAGTCATCAAACAACATTTTGTGAACTGTTTGGTACTGCAGTTGGAGGTTTCCATTGCAAGCCTATTTGTATATTGATTATTTGATCTTTTTATTTAGATTCTTGCTGTGCCAGGCTTTAAGGAGGGCACAGTATTTGAACAGCTTGGGAGTTACCTGACCTTCAAGAGTTCCCTAGGATACAGCATCAAATGGGATGGCAAACAGTCCATTTTTGTGCAGGTATTTCAAAGCTGCAAATTGTAACAAACATGTAATCTGAAACTGTCCTTGATCTGACTAATCAGATGCATGCTTAGATAAATGTAAATGGATCTCTTAGCTTTTTGATCTTTATATCCTTTCATACTTTTTAGACTTTGTCATCTATTATCGGGGTAACTACTCAAGTTTTTCATCAGATTTGACTAAAATATCAGATTTGAGATAGGTCCATTTTATGAAATGTAGCTATCTTCTGATGCTAAATGTGCGAATATATGTTGTGAACAAATACATACAGTTTGCTTTTGACTTTCATAAATAGAAACATAACATAATTTATAGATATTGTTGGTTCCAGTGTGGGTTTCAGGGCCTCTATTTCATAAAAGATGACTTTAAGGGTTTGTTGAAATCAGACCTGCTGAGCCAAGCAGTGCAGATATTACATAGCGACTACGGTGTTCGGCAATTGGCGGCCTTTTGGCAATTTCCGTTACCATGGAAACCGTTCGAAACTTGCTTCGCAAATGTCGGCTAGGGTTTTGGGATGGGTCCTAATCTCTCATGAAATTTTGTGAGTGGTTTGATTTTCACCCACTATAAAAAGCTGAAAAAGGCGGGCAGGAACCTGATTAACAGCGCATGTGTACGACAGCCGGACATCCTCTGTTTTTCTGTTACATCAGTTTGATTGAAAATAGCGATAAGTATTCAGGGTTGGCTTTAGGCTTTAACTGTTACTGGTCCTGGTGATGCTAGTTATAATTGAATTCTCCGTCCAATTTTACATTTGTGTATAAAATTTCTTTCTGAACAGTGGCTAGGTAGATGTACAGTGACATTTTTCAGGTAATCGCTGGCTCAGCCAGTGGCTGTGTCTCATTGTCTGCCATCTTGTCCAATGACAGTCCAATGTAAACAAAGCCAAAACGATAAGTGCGCAGTTTGGTTTCTAAGACGCAAGTTTTACTGCAGCTGCTTTCTACATCTCATCTCCACAAAAACCTACATATCTCAGCTCAGAAATGACATACAAGCCTAAATGAGGTACCGTTGGAAAGAGATTGTTTACAGCTATCTAACTGTGCTGGTTTTATTGGTGTAGAGGGCATTTTTGAAAATTTGACTAAAGTACCTATATTACAGACTAGCTGTATACCATGACACAACATGCTAATTGCAAACACAGAAGAAGTATGTTTTAGAGATCCAGTCTTGAGAAGTAGATTCAGATATTAAAAAGATTTATAACATGGTTTGAAAATGTAAATTAAGACAATGAACCTAAAAAACCTAATTTTAAGGTAGTTGTAGTAGTACTTGTCACAAAACTATCTGTTTAATCCTCAGCGTTATAACTAGGATAAAAAGTGTTTATGAGTTTTCGTAGTACATACTGGTTGTTTTATATACACACGTATATATAGTATAAATATTTATTTAAGATATTAATGTATTTTGTATCATAATTTGATATAGTGTCTTGTTCACACCTTTATGTTTGAATGTTTTTTTTTTTTTTTTTTGGGGGGGGGGGGGGGGGGTCCAGGAAAAAAAAAGGGGGGGGGGGGGGTTGTGTTACAATAGAAATTGTACAGTGAATATTTTGAAAATCTCATTAACATTGTGTCATTAAAATAGTGGAGTTATTATTCATATATTCATTAACAGTCCTCATAAATATTTTTGGTTTAGTAGTAATTATTTCCTCCTTTCAAACAGCGTAAAGGGAATAGAAAATTGAATCGTCTGTCTAAAAGCACAGTGAAGATCATGATCTGTTCTTGAATTTAAAGAAAATGAAAATAAAGTCCACAGATAAAACTGGTTGTCACCCAAAAATAACAATAAATGATGAAGAAGTTGAAAATGTCACAAACTTTGAATATCTAGGCTCTGTAATAAATAGCAATGGAGACTGTTTGACAGAAAAAGGAGGATGGCCATAGCAATGCAAAGATTAAACAGCATTAAAAGTAGGGCTGTACCGAATAGTGATTTTCACTATTCTGCCGAATATAAATAAGCAGGACCAACTATTCGGACGAATACAAATACGAATAGTGCATTATCATCGTCAGGTGCCTTGCCGACTGGCGTGGGTGATTATGCCTTGACACAATCTGCGATCTCCTGCAGCATGTATTAGTTCGTGTGCTGACACACCTCTATGCCATGCAACAAGACTGTCAAGAATTTTCTCTCATTGTCTTCCTCTATCCATCCTTCCACAGATCTTTCCAGTGGTCACCACATGTTACATCTTCCCTCTTCTCATAACATGGCTGAAAAATTATGACTGTCTTCTTTAGATGTCTGTGATTAGTTGTCTTTCAAAACCTCTTGGTTGCTTTTGTGTGTGTGTGTGTGAGTGAGTGAGTGAGTGAGTGTGTGTGTGTGTGTGTGTGTGTGTGTGTGTGCGCGTGCGTGCGTGCGTGCGCGCGTGCGTGCGTGCGTGCGTGCGTGCGTGCGTGCGTGCGTGCGTGCGTGCGTGCGTGCGTGTGTGTGTGTGTGTGTGTGTGTGGCTGTCCAAGGTATTTTAAGCACAACACTGAGGCCTCAAGAAATTGTTTGGCCTGCCTACCAATTGTCCAGGACCCACAGACATATGTTAAAACTGGATGTATGTAGCAAGCAAGAAATTCTTTTTCTAACCTTCAATGACAAAGATATATTGCATAAGATGTTCTTCATTTTATAAAATGCAGTTTTTGCCTGTCCTATTCTGTTTCTTATTTCAGTAATGCATCTTCCATCTGATGTTATCCATGTGCCCAGATACTTAAATTTCTGCACTTGTCCTAAAATAACACCATCGACTTTTATTACACATTTAGGAATATTTCGTTTCTTTGATACCACCAATTACTTCTGTCTTTCCACTTTTAAAAATGAGGCACATTCTTCCATTTTCGAATAGTGTATAGTGTATAAAATAGATCTAAAAAAACATTCATAATGTCAAATGAAATACTGACATCTAAGATTGGCTAATAAACAGCATCCTGTCTCGGAAGCGGAAATATTTTAGTCATATCAAGCGCCACTTTTTTGGAGAAAAAAAATAGCAGAAGGCATGGTACCAGGAAGGAGGGGCAGAGCCGACCGATACAAAGATGGGCACAGGATATAAGTGACTCTTAGAGTATGAAAGTACATGAGGTGGGAGAGCTGGCGAGAGACTGAGTTTCTTTCAGGCAGACAGTGATGTGAGCGACGTTCTGCAAAGGACCTGCTACATGATGATGATAAGTAATTATTTAAAAAAAATTGCATTGACATTTCCTTACCCTTCTGTACAGGGATTTTAGTTCTATTAATAAATTGACTGAACTTGTCACAAACATCTTTAGGGCTGCCTACGGGTAACAGCTTTTCCCATCATCATCACAGGTAATTTATAAAGTTTAATATGTTCAGTTACTTGTTTTCTGCAAAAGTTCCACCCCCAGCAAGTTTCTTTTCTGGCATAAATCACAATGTTCTTCCTGTATAGTTCAGCAAACCCATCTAAATTGTAGATTAAGTAATTTTTTTTGTTCTTGCTTGGGATTTTACTGTCATCTGTTATCTGACTTTGTGTTTTAGGGGCACTGAACAACTTATATGAATTTGTGTCCTTCAGACTTTGGTCCCACATTGAAGACCATGCCTCATACATTTTTAATCAATGATTTTATGTACTCTAAGCTCATAATTACATGAACTAAACCAGAGAATTATATATACAGGTTAATAAAAAGTTAGGAAACAAATCTTGGTAGTTCCAAGGTAGTTTAGATAGCTTAACAAGTGAGGCAGCAGTATCAATAGCAAAAAAAAAAAAAAAAAGGATTTGAGGAAAATAGTAAATAGAAGGTTCTAACCAACACTAAAATTAAAATTATTAAAGGGCTGAATACTCTGATGAATTTCTAAAAATAAAAACAGTTCCCAAAGTCTGAAGGTATAGAAAAGTAAGTAAAGGAAAGATCCCTTTACACGCCCTTAGGCACATCGGGCATATGGGAAGAGCAACCATATTTGTACAGACCAATCGGCACTCGGTGGGTAATGTGGTCAGCATTATGCCGGCCGTCTTTACTTTCCCAGGACAGCCCATCCTGGTACCCATTTGAGGCTGGGTCGACCTGCGACGTCCCATACCACGATAAAAATCCACGCAGCCCGCAGTTGGTTTTGATCGTGGTACGTTGGATTACGAGTGAGACTCGCAATGTCTTAGCCACGGATGCCACTTCTGAAGGTATTCTGCATACAAAAGTAGTGCTGAATATAGACTGTAATGAAGCTTCTTGAGGAATAAAATATAAACTATGTTGCAGTGTATTTAAGTTGTTGATTGAAATAGTAATCAGCAGACGTTATTACAGCCATTATAAATGCCTCTGATAAATAAATGCAAAATGCATTTAACAGAGTTTGGAAGACTGAAGAAATTAGCACAGTAGAGAAGAATTTCTGATAAAGCTGACAAAGAAAGGGACTTAAAAAAGTGCAAACAATTTAAATGCTTGTTTTTCATTGCTACTTCTACTTTTTATGAATGCATTGTAGTAGCAATTGTTCCTGTTAGTAGGAAAGTAACACTTTGTTACAGAACCTTCTTTTGTATATTACTGTGATTATTTGGCTAACATAAATCGTTCAAATCTACCTAGGTACCTGCAGAGCTTAAGGGGAAAATATTAGGACTTTGTGGTAAATACAATGGTAACCCAGCTGATGATTTCACAAATCAACAAACTCAGCTGCTGACATCACCACAAGATTTTGGAGTTAGCTGGAAAAGGAGCCTGCTTGGAGAGAATGGTAAGCACACTAATAATAGTTATTACATACCTAAGTGGATTAATCTATAGCTGTTGTAAGGTATTTCAACATGTAAGCTTTCCCATATACTAGGGTGTATCATTATGAGATGAGGTGATATATTCTTTTCTTATCTTTCATTTCCAGATTTTTTTAAAAAAGCCATTTTTTGAGCCCTATTATCCATAGATTGTATTAGAAAAACAAAAAGAGCATGCCACCAGTGGAAATTGAATCTTAGAATTATTGTACTGGTATATGTGTGTTGTATATTATATTGCTACAGTTTCTACACATCTTTCTTTCAAGCTCCTTGCAGACTTTTGTGGGTGATCATGCTTCTTCACATTTTGCAATCTCCATGTGCATATATCACTTCCTATGTTTTCATCTTTCTTTGTCATGACAATAGACTGTCAAGAATATAATCTTAAATTCCTCTAGTTTTCTTTTCAATTACAATTTCTAGTTGTTGCAATATGGCAAAAATATGTTTTTTTAAAATATCTTTTTGATGTTTTCTATAAACTTTTTTTTGTTTTAACCTCATTCAAAATGTTTACAGTCTCTAGATTTAGCTGGTTATATACTGGCTGTGTTACTGAAACATAGATTACTGTAGAGAACTGTGATACTTACCATTACATATGAACCCTCATTTATTATCTGCAACATCTTTTCTGTCAGTAATGAATGAAATTTATGTGTTTTTACAAATAACTGACCAAGAGTTTTGTAAACAATCAGTGCATGGTGTGGATCACAATTCACTACCACATTTAACCTGTAAAGTTTATGTCTGATTGATTATTATTATTTTGAGATATTTTATTAAAAACAGTTGTGCTTAAATTGGAATTTAAAGTGTATCGGTTTAATTATGGCTAAAAGCTTTGATGGGAGTCACCATGGCAGAGTGGCTAGATGCTTGCTGTGGATCAGATGGTCGTGGGTTCACTTCCTGGACTTTTTTCAAAAATTACTTTGGCTCCCAGGTCGACCCAGTCTTGAGTGGGTACCGGGTGCAGTCCCAGGAAGTAAAGGTGGCTGGCGTGGTGCTGACCACATCACCCATCTTGTGCTGACTGGTCTATAAAATATAGGTCTAGCCCTAAATGCCCTATACGCCAAAAGGCATGGGAAAGGGTCCTTTACTTACTACAGTTAAAAGCGTTGATGTTATTCATAATACAAATCATACAGAACAATAAAAGCCTCTATTGATGCTTATATTTCTTCCTATAATAGCTTGCCCTGATGCACAACAAACTGCTCAGTGTAGTTCTCAGTCACAAAGTCAACAAGTTGCAAGCACTACATGTGGAATTATCTTGGTTGATCCAGCTTTCATTCCTTGTCATAATGTTAGTATTTACTTAAATGTTAATTACAGTTGTTAGATGCCCTCCCCCCTCCCCCCACCCAGTTTAATAGAAAAAACAAATGCTAAGGTTTTCACAGCTGCCAGTGCTACTAGATCATTCATCACAAGCAAAAAGAAAAGACACAAGAAATATATACACCATACTACCAAGAAACTTTAATTTTAAAAAAAATCATTATTTTATGTTATTACAATTGACGTGGAGCATAAAAATGGAGCATAAAATGGAGCATCAAAAATATGGACCGCTTCCACAATTTAATTTTTAAAAAAATACAAGCTTCCTCAGTTTTTTTTTTAGATTATCAGAGAGAAGTGAAGAGTGATGATCCTCATTGTCTGTTTTAGAAAGAGAAGAAAAATATTGTTAATATTTCAGGTTTTCATTATCACTTCAATAACAACAGTCATTCACACTAGACAAGAATAATTTAATCAGTTGGTAGGTAGAAGATGTGTTAACCCTTTCGCTGCTGCGCCCTCCGCCAGCCAACGTAACCACTGTGCTAAGCCATGCGAGTGCTAATCTTTCCTCCTGTGCTGAATACCTTTTTTCACTTCAAAAGCAGAAGATGCGCTTGCGGCGTGGGGTAAAATTTGTTCACCTAAAATAAAAGAATCTTTAAAGGCATATGGTTGATCTTTGCGCTGACAAGTCAGACGCGCTTTGCTACGCCATGAAAACTCATTAACAAAAAGAAAACACTGTAAGCTTACAAAGCAAACACAAAACACTTTAGTGAACAAATACATGGTGTTTATTATTATTAATAATATTTTTGTGTGTGAATTATTTCAAAACAATGTCCGACACACAATGCCAAATTACAGTCCTTGCACATGTATCTGGTTTCCCGTCGTTTTTTTGCTTTTTGCGCATACCACACACTTTCTTTTTGGGAATTTCTGCTGTGATGTTTCAGACTCTATTATTGAAGGGAAATGCCTTTGTACTAAACGAGGTGGCAGATCTTCCCTTTTTTTGTCCTCCTACACTTTTTCTCTTTTCCTTGCAGTATTTCTGTAGAATTTCTCTTACTAACATTAAGTGAAATTAGGCAACAGGAGTGGTTTCCCCCACAAATGCACAGTACACCAACCACGCTTTACACAGGAACAGGATAACGTGTAACGCATCTAAATCCACCTGAACACACATGACAGGTTGTTTAATTAATTATTACTTGGGTGATCTGTTGCCAAAAGTGCTAAGAGCTTAAAATTTAAAATAATAAAAAAAAGAAAAAACCGGGATGAAGGGGTTGAACGCAGGATCTTTTGATTGTAAGGCAGACATGATACCAACTACACTAGAAATTACATATGAAAAATGGAACTGAAAATAGGACCAGTATTGTACACTTTGATAAACAGACACATTTATGTCAGTTGTATATTAGAAACATTAACAATAATATTAGTTATCATGTCAGTACATAACCATATCTTCATTTTGATTACTGGGGAATCATTTCAAATGCAGTCGATGTAGATAGCTGGGTCATATGGTCAGTCTTGCACACGGCCGAAGTACCTGTGTCCGCCGGCGTGCCGCGAAGATAACCCAGCTCATAAAACACATGTTTCAAAGTGATCCTTACTATTACTCATTGAAAGAAACTCCATTAATTCTTCATTAACTTTAATTACCTATTTTCTTGTTATTTTGTATTTTTAAAAAAAAAACTGTAGACTAACGCAAAACCAGAGATATATTTCAGGGCAAAAATATTACCGTTCACCGACCATGCTTCTATGGTAACAAAGCAACAGGATAATGTGAAATGCATCTAAATGCACCTAAACAAACGTAATATGTGTTTTAATTGTATGTAAATGTGTCATTTTGATCAGATTTAGGTAATGTATATTGCGATTTCACCCCCGAGAATTTCGGCTCTTAGCAATCTGTAAGAAAAGTCGAAGACGAGTTAGCTCACCCTTAGCAGTGAGGGCACAGAAAACTGAAGACGAGTTATCTTGTCCTTAGCAGTGAGGGCACAGAAAACTGAAGACGAGTTAGCTTGTTAGCAGTCACAGAAAACTGAAGACGAGTTAGCTCACCCTTAGCAGTGAGGGCACAGAAAACTGAAGACGAGTTAGCTCGTCCTTAGCAGTGAGGGCACAGAAAACTGAAGACGAGTTAGCTCGTCCTTAGCAGTGAGGGCACAGAAAACTGAAGACGAGTTAGCTCGTCCTTAGCAGTGAGGGCACAGAAAACTGAAGACGAGTTATCTCGTCCCATAGGGCAGAAAACTGAAAAGGGTTAGAGAGGTAAAACTGAAGAGAGCTTAAGCCACAAAACAGGTTAGCACTTCAGCAGTGAGGGGATGAAGAAGTTATTCTATGAAAATGAAGACAAGTTATCTCTGAGATATCTCGAGAACAGGGTTAAAGAGGTAAAATGAGATAACCCAACACAGGAGTCACGGGAAGAGTTTGTGAAGCCATCTAGTGTAAGTTTGTGGGTGTAAGGGGGTGAATCATGAATAGTCTGTAGATTATTGATAAATCATATGGTTTTAGAGAAGAGTCATGAGAACAACATGGGTACATTAAACACATACTGCCTTGAAAGAAATTAAATTACATAAAGAACTAATAACTGGCATCAGATGCTGATGGTCCACATTCTTGATGCATGCCACAGTAAATCAGTAATGAGAATTCTGGAGGGGAAGACAAGCAGAGGGAGAGAAAGAGAGTGCGAATGTAGAAAAGTTTAGCATTATGTCATAAAAGAGTGTCTGTCAGAAATTAATAGCAGTTTTTGAGTCAGGTCTTTAGACTGACCTGATGACCTAGGCCAGAAAGCTTGAAAAAGTTGACCACAGTGATAAGCAGACATTCTGGAAAATGTATCACAAATAGATATCATCATCATTTTCCTTTGTATGCTGTTAGATGTCACATACGGCTCACATTTGATTCCTCCATTCCGCTCAGTTGCATACAACTCTCTCTGTTTCTGACATGGAGTTCAGCCCAGCATTTTAGCCTCTCGTAGTAATGTTTTTCTTAATGTTTACATTGGACATCCTCTTTTTCTCAGACCGTTTGTTTCTCCTTTCAGTGCTTGTTTTTAAATTCTTTGCTCAGTTTGTGTCTGTGGGCCACATGTATTTTACTTTTTTTGTCTTATCCCAAATGATACAGGTGTTTGTCCAACATTTTTTTTTATCTCCTCACTCTTTTTAATTCATTCGTTTTTTTTTTTTTTTATATTCATGATTTGTTCTCTGACACTTATTTTCAAATTGCACTTAGTTTTTATTCCATCTCTTTGTTGGTTCTCCAACTGTTGCTGGCATATGTTAGAACTGAAATAATGTTAAAATTTAAGATTTGGAATTTGGTCTTAAAGCCGTATAAGTTGGAGCTCCATATTTTGTTAAGGAGTGTGTGTGTGTGTGTGTGTGTGTGTGCAAGTACGTTTATGTACTTGTGCGTGTGTATGTATATATACGTATATATATATATATATATATATATATATATATATATATATATATATATATATATATATATATATATATATATATATATATATATATATATATATATATATATATATATATATATATATATATATATATATATATATATATATATATATATATATATATTGAAAATTGAGTATTGTTTCAATATTTATATATTTTCTTTTAAATTATGTATTTATTTAAACATTTGCTTATTTATTCAGAAACCTATGGTGTTTGTTTTACAACTATAGGTTGTAGATCCAGCACCTTATGATGATTCATGCCAGAGTGACTGTTGCAGCAGCAATTCAGCATCCTGCTTGTGTGATTCTCTGGAAGCCTATTCCAGGGCTTGCATGGATAAGGGAGTAAAACTGAACTGGAGAAAGCAAGGCCGCTGTGGTAAGAGGCTATTTTAGCACTATGGTAAAACAGGGAATGCTTGATAAGGTAATCCTTTCTGTCATGAGCAGGTTTAATTTAAAATGTCAAAATTCTGGATCAAGAATGAAAATAAATGTCAAGGAGTGAAGTTGTTAAGGTCACAGAAAGAATTAGCGTAACCACTGGGATAATTATGGAATAGGTAGTTGTTGGTCAACACTGACGCAATTATTAACCAAGGTATTTAGGTCATACACAGTCATTACACAGGTTTCAACTGTAACAATTTTTCATGTATATGTATATACAAAGTATAACTGCTGAAATGTTGTGTAAATAACTGTTTTATTACTAATTTTTTTTACACATTTAACAAAATTTTAACTTTCTGAAATTCACCTAAGTTACAGTGCGTACTTAAACCATAAGTCATTCGTACAGGCACACCACATATGAATATTTTCAAAATGGTTTTCTTTACTTTCTGCCATTTTCTGTGTCTGTCTGTCTTTTTCTTTCTCTTCAGCTCTTTTTCCCTTCTTCTTCAACTCATTAGTTATTTATTGTTGTATGTTGTATCTGGTATCATCTTTCTCAGTTTCTAGTGAAATTATTCTACCAAGTGTTTATTTTATTCTAAAATAAAATAGATGTTTTTTCATTTCCAATGTGTAGTTGCTTTCATTTATTTATTTTACATTTCTATCCTGTATCTACACAGAAATGACCTGTCGCAATGGCATGGTATTTAAGGAATGTGGCAGCTCATGTGTGAAGGACTGCAACACTGTGGGTACAGCATGCACAGACCCAACTTGTGTTGATGGCTGCTTCTGCCCTGATGGTACAGTCTTGCACAATGGAACCTGTATTACAGCAGACTTGTGCCCTTGTGAATATGAAGGGCATCAGTTTAAACAAGGTGATGTTATTCACCAGCAGTGTAACAACTGGTAAGTTTAATTGCCTTTGACAGCTGTCTCCCTGATCCACAATTTTGTGTAGAAAATTTATTTGCAGGAAATCCATTTTAGTTTGACATTAGCAGGATTTTTCTGTTTGTATTTTGGGTGTGGGGGTAAGGGTTCTATTGGATACCATTTACTGTATATTTTTTTCCCCATATTTGGTGGTTTTTGGTGTTTGTTGCATCTATCTAATAATGAGATCTCTTTAAGATACACTAGAAATATTCATTTGGATGTATGTAGCAAGCAAGAATTCTTTTTCTTACCTTCAATGACAAAGATATATTGCATAAGATGTTCTTCATTTTATAAAATGCAGTTTTTGCCTGTCCTATTCTGTTTCCTATTTGAGTAATGCATCTTCCATCTGATGTTATCCATGTGCCCAGATACTTACATTTCTGTACTTGTCCTAAAATAACACTATCAACTTTTATTACACATTTAGGAATAATTCTTTTCTTTGATACCACTATTACTTCTGTCTTCCCTCTATTCAAACTGAGGCCCATTTTTCCACTTTCGAATAGTGTATAAAATAGATCTAACAAAAAACATCCATAATGTCAAATTTACGCTGACATTTTACTTCTCAAAATGTAGTACAGAATAGTAAACATTTAAAAACATTTTATGTTTTGCATCCTTCAGTCAGTCAGTCTGTTGTAACTAATACCTAGGAATGAAAGTATTCTTAGTTTTATAACAAGTAACTAAACTTGTAAATGATCACTGACAGCTTAGTAAATCCATGAAAGTGGCATAAGCTATAAAAAAAAAAAAAAGAATTCGTTCCATGTTGTAAGCATTAAGGCATCTTCTTGTCTCAGTGAAGGTATTTCCAGCTGTACTAAACAGACGTTCATTTGGTACGCAAATAGGTGGTGCACAAAGATAACGCTTGACAGTATGAACCAAGGTGGGAAATTTCGATATGTTTATTTTCCACCAGCCTAGAAACGGATGTAAGGTAACCACTATTGGTATTTGGCCCGACCGCAACTATTCGGCCGAATACCAAATAGCTATTAGGTCCACTATTCAGCCCTGAAGCGAATATTCGGTACAGCCCAAATATATATATATAATTTATATAAAAACACCATTTACTATGTTAGTTAATTATGACATGAATTATGCCTTGCAGTTTGTTAATCTACCTAATGAGGAAAATGACAATTCAGCTTCCTCCACCTTTGATGGTCAGATGCAGTGGACTTCATGGTTGTATACCTAATGCCTGTCCAGTCAGTCAAGTTCTGTGTTCAGGTCTTTCTTGGTCTGTCTCTTCCCCTCTACTGAGCCCTGTAGTATTCTTTTTTAGAGGCTGTTAGATCTAAATTACATGTCTCTACAATTACATTTTCCATCTTTTCACTGTTTCCAGTTATTACATTAACCTGACACAGTTCCTGATATAATCCTTGTTATTTTGCGTTTATTCATTTGTTACATTAAGCTTAAATAAATCCCTGTTTTTACAGTCACTTATTCTGTTCAATAAGATATTTATTTGATCTCAGTTAGATTGAACCCACTGTTATCGCCTTAAAGTAACAATTATTTCAGAAAGAATGACTTGAAGCAAAACTCTCTGGTACTGAAAGAGCTTACATAAATACACTCATTTGTAATGATCTTGACTGCCAGTAACCTCCAAATGTTTTCATTTTGAAGCACCTGTGTTGCTGGTTCATGGACTTGCACTCATGTCACTTGCGAAAAGACCTGCTCCGCCACTGGGGATCCTCATTATGAAACCTTTGATGGCCTCCGCTACAACTTCATGGGCACCTGCTCTTACTACTTGGTCAAGGATCCCGACTTCAGTGTTATAAGTGATAATGTACAGTGTGGGAATGGAGATGCATCCTGTACAAAATCAATCACCCTTCTTTTGAATGGTACAATAATCAGAATGGACCAGAACCATCAGCTGTTTATCAATGGTCAAGAAATTAAAGCGCTACCATATGAAACAGCAGGAATTAAAGTCTCCATGGTTTCTTCTCTTTTCATGCAGGTACACATTTGTATAGTTTCATTTGAATAATATTGTTACCTTTACTATAGTAAAATTTATATTTTTTCCCATAAAAAATTCATATTTTACAAATTTCTCCAGTAATTACTGTGCATTTATTATTAGCAATGTTTATCTTTGCCTAATAAGATAAAATAACAAAATAATTAATGACAAAAGAGAGACAGGATTGATCTGCATGTCTAAATCATGATATTTTCAGAATATTGTTCATTCGTTGTCTTTTCTTCTGATACTCAATTTCTAATGTAGATGACATACAAACTTAGAGAGTTCATTTAACTTGTGTCTGGAGGTACATGTTTCTGTCATTGTTGATTGATATTAGATGAAGTTTTGTTAGTATTGTTTGGACTCTCCTTTTTGTATTCCGTCTGTGTCTTTAATAAAACTGATTTCTCTTCTTCTTCTTCTCTTCCACCTTGTACCTCATCGAAGTGTCGGGGGGAGATGTAATGTTCGTTGATGAGCTCTGTCAAGAGCACTATTAAGACTGATGTTCATTTCTGTAAGGCTGTTCTTAATGCCATCACTCCATGTGTTCCGAGGTCTTCCACTCGCTCTATACCCGTTGTAATGTTGTTGTGTGGCTCGCTGTGGCAGATAGTACCAGGGCATTCTTGTTAGGTGTCCAAACCACTTCATTTGTTGTTCTTTGGTGACCTGTAAGACTGGCTTTATTCCTATCATTCGTCTGATTCCATGATTTCGTATTCTGTCTTTCCTTGAAACTCCTGCAGCTCTTCTAAGGCATTTCATCTCTGTTGTCACAATTTTACGTTCATTGGAGGATGTAAGTGTCCACGTTTGGCATTGATAGCATAGTGTTAACTGATTTCTCAGATGTCTGAATTACAGTATCCATTACATATTGTGGAGTGTTGCTTGCTTTGTGCAATTCTAAATGTATCAATATTAGATCTTCCCTAGCTCTGAAACAAAACTACGGGAGCTAAGGACTGTGTGCTAGCTTACTTCAGAGGATAATGGTATTTCTAGCACTTTCCTGCTACTCTAATAGAGACTTGATTTACTCTTCATTATGTGTCATAATCCAAATGTATTCTGAATTAGTTTAAAAAAAAAAAAAGTAAAAGACTATGTTCTCACGTCAGTTATGCATTGGCACATAATGTAAGACTCACTTTTTATAAGCCTATCAGCACTTAGTGTGTGGTCTGGTCAACATCATGCCACCTTAATTTGCCACTTCACTTTCCTGATTCCCATTTCAGGCTAGGTTGACCTGGAAGCCAGTGTAATTTTATCTTCTTCAAATTTGCCAGTGCTGATTCAAACACAAGGCCTTCAGGCTGCCATCTGCATTAGTTATCTGATCACATGTTATGTACTTGTGACATATCTCCTTGCAGTTTTTAAAGAATGAAATCTATTTCAGGCAGCTTTCAGTAATGGTGTCACTGTCTTGTGGGATGGCAAAACTCGAGCTTATATTAAGGCACCATCATCATTTTATGGGAGAACCATTGGCCTGTGTGGCACATTTGATGGGAATCAAGGCAATGACTTCATGACAGAGCATGGGAACATTGAGACAATACCTAATGCATTTGGCAACCACTGGAAGACTGATGTGTTGTGTACTAACATGTCTATAGAAATTCAACAAAATCCTTGTGACGTTAATCCTCAAAGAAAGCTTCAAGCAGCCTCACTCTGTGATCATCTGAAGAGTGATGTTTTCAAAGGTTTGTGCACTTTTTAATTTTTTTAATTTTAAATTTTGGTTTGTGTAATCAAAAACAAAAACAAGGGCTGGGGGTGTGGGTGGTAAACAGAGAACACATAAGTCAGTTGGAAGTGAAGAAAATGTATACCTTATTAAACCTTTCAACCCAGCCATCCACACTGTTGTGTTCCATTCCTCTGAACCCCTTAGCATCATATCCATTCAAAAGGAAAAATCTGCACAGTGCGTTTATGTTTATACATCTGCTCTTTCCTCAGTTTTAATTATTATATCTATGACTGACTAACCATGTAATTTGCCAGTATTCTTATTAACTTTTTGAGTACCGGAGGTTTAGCATCAGACGCCCAAGAGGTGGTAATACCATTTTTAAATGTCACAGGTGTAACACATTAAAACAGACCATACTAATTTAACTACCATGCAACACACATATTATAAATAAAAATCACCAGGGCTTGTTGAGGAATAATATTAGAATACTTTACCAAAAAAAAAAAAAAAAACACTAGTAATTAATTATTAGAAAATAATCAGATTGTATGTTTAGTGAAATTACTAAAAATAATATTTCCACTTACCACCACGACACTCAAAGAAAACTTGATAAAATGTATCCAAAATTAATCACAAGTGAAGTGAACTACTTAGTAATGTGTAAATAAAATATAAACATAATCTGACCATTAGATTTCGTTCAAGAGAAACCCAAAGAACATCATAACAGAGAACCACATAAAAATGACCTCAGAAAAAAATTAGTATTTTCACACAAAAAATGAACTTTATATTACACTTTATGTTCCTAAAATAATACAGGAATCGTACTAAACATAACAGACACTGAGGAATATTTCCTTTTTCACTAAAATTTATTCTCTTTGTACCAGCTGACTTTGTTTGCTTAGTAGGCATTGCATGATGTATAAATCAAGGCTATCCCTCATCAAAGTTTCACTCTTATGACTAAAACGAGTGTACTTCGTAATTTTCTTTGTCTAGCTTCAGATAAATCTGATAAACCCATGTTTTAGTTAAACATGAGGCTTCTAAAGTCATAAATCTTGTTGGCAAGCATGAAGAAGTCTGCTCAGAGGCCATATTGTTTTCACACAGACACTTAGAAACTTAGTAAAGCTAACAAATATGCTAAATTTTATGCTTTTAACCATAACCGTGTTTTCGGATATCCCAAGTGGTTACCACGTGCGACGTCAAACACAATAAATGGGAAAAACCATTCAAGACTGCCTGTTTGTGTTGTTATACTAGCCAATGTGGTCAATTAAAAACCTGAACACATCACAGACCATCTGGCTGCTTGGGTAGTAACTGATTAGCTTGTGATGCATTTCATGGGATTCAAAGAGTTGAACCTCAATAGGTAAATATGTCCATTAAGCACAGATGACTTTCATAATAGTAATGTCATATTTTTGCCGTAATTTTGTCAATTGTCCATCTTTAAAAGCCCTGTTTGGAAAATCATGCATAATTTGCCAGTAACTTGTGGTGGCACCTGAATATGATGGAAGTCCTGATTTAGTAACCTCAGACCACATTGGTTGTGAAACTTCTGTTCATTGCTTTGTTGTCACCAAAAAGTAATAAATGCATTTTATTAACTCTTTGAGTCCCCGGGGGTTTAGCATCAGAGGCCCAACAGAGTGGTAATGAAATTTTTTAATTTCACAAGTGTAACACATTAAAACAGACCATACTAATTCTATTACCACGCAACATACACATATTATACATCAAAGTGACCCAGGAATGTTGAGGAATAATTATAGAATCTAGCTACAAGAAGCTATTGCGATAGTAATTGAATATTAATACATAAACAAACAGTATGTTTACAAAAAAATTTGTAAAATGAAAAAGAAAAAATTACACTTACCACCATGGCACTCAATGAAAACTAGTTAAAATATATTCAAAATTAATCACAAATGAATATGAACCACTTAGTAATGTATAAGTAAAATATAAACTCAATCTATACATTAGATTTTGTTCCAAAGAATCTATTGAAGCATCATGAAAGAGCACCATTATTTGGTAAAGAAAACTGACTCCCAAAACAATAAGTATCTTCACACAAAACAAAGTTTATATAACACTCAATTTGCATGTAATTTTGTAGCTATGTTCCTAAATAATAAGGGAAATAGCACTAGAACTAACTGACACTGAAAAAAATCTTTTTTTCACTAATGTTTATTCTATTTGTGTCAGCTGACTTTGCTATCATTGTACCTTCGCGTGAGGAACACATTAAACATATCCCTCATCAAAGCCTAATTTGCAATGTTATCTATCTAACTTTTGATAAATCGAATAAACACGTACTTTATTTAAATTTGAGGCTTCTAAAGCCATAAATCATGTTGGCATACCTGTAGAGTACTGCTTGGTGGCCATATTCTTTTCAAACAAACACTTAGTAGCCCTGTAAATCTAGAAAAAATACTATATTTTCGGCTCTCAGACCACGTTTTTAAATGAGCACATCTGATGTCAGACACAAAGAATTTGAAAGGAAGTTGTTGAAATTGAGTTTAAGACCGGTCAGTGGTAGAATAAAAACCTTCACTTATCAGGCGTCGATTGGGCCTGGCCGGTTGTAACAAATTAGCACGTGATGCATTCCCTGGGACTCAAAGAGTCAAATAATGTCAATTCTTTCTATGGTATCTTTCAGTTGTGGTCTGCCCAAAAATTGATGTAGTAAATTTAATTTCATTGATATGGTTTAGTCTGTAAAATCCACTTGGATTTAGTTTTAATTTAAAAAAATACTGTTTGTGAGTCAAGTCAAAGCATAGGACTTACGGAATCCAACATAATCAGTTGAAAGAGTGTATTGCTTTTAATTGACAAAAATAGACATTTGTGAAGATAAACTTTATGCTGTGATAGTTGTAAAATAACCAGTGCATATAAATTCTACTGATGCATTTTGTTGACTTCTTTATTTAAAGTTGAGTAAATCATATGAATCATAGATCTGTTCTTTGCCCCTCATACTAGCTTGAGTCCAGCTTTTGTGTAAATCTGTTTCATTATGAAAGACTATTGGAAGAAACAGCCGCTTATTTGATAATCTTAATCTTCCACAGCCTGTCATGGTATAGAAGATGTTACTCCCTACTATGAGGACTGCATCTATGACCTGTGTGCATGTACAGGCAACATGAAGGACTGCATGTGCCCAAACATAGGCAGCTACGCTGACAGCTGTGCAGCTAAAGGAGTCAAGATTAGTTGGCGATTTAATATCACAGAATGCAGTAAGTGTTTTGGGACCAAAACCTATGTTATTTTGGCCATTTTGCATGGTTTCAAATTGTATTCATATTAAGTACATACAATGTTTTAGTTAAGTTGTAAATGATAGTTGGTATTACCTATTTTCTTAGCACTTTAATTTGATATGTTGCCAAATAAAACTTGTCCATGCTGCATGTGGAACATGATGATGTGTGTAGCCAGTGAACAGGCACATCGTGTGTTCGTTCTTCATAGTTATGCAGCACATTATTAATTACTGAATTAAAAACAAAATCGTAGCTCATTGGGCATACCCATAAATGCTCTGACTCCCACAGCAAATGTCTTAAGGCTGAGTTGAGTTGAATTAAGAATTTACATCACAGCACTCAGGGCATTATCATTTGCACTCCGTCCCCATCCTTAGCAGCCAGTGCAGAGTTCCAATACTAATGGTGCCAGTCATAGTCTGGTTGTATGTCTGTCTTACCTTTCCTCTGAGTGTAGTGTGCCAGCCAAACCCTCTGGTCGTGTCTTAAAGTGATGATGCTAACTGTTCCCAAAACACTCTGAATGTTCACATATGAGTCTCTTCTTCAAATACGTCCATCCTTGCTGGATCCGCACATGATTCCTCATTCACACATTCTTGCACATGTTATTTCATCTAACCTTGTGTCCTATATCAGCATTCATTCCTTCATAAATGTTCTTCAGAATGTCTCTCTTTTCTAGTACGAGTGCTCTTGTAATTATCGCATTTATGTAGTCAGAAAATTTGCTCTTTCTTTCCCTCACACTCCTGCATATCCTGGACAGTATATCTACCTGAGTCCCCTAATGTTGATGTGCTGATGCTTATTATCCAGTCATGCCACATTTTTCCATTGTGAACCTTCCTCAATTAGACTCAATAATTCCTCTGAGAGCTCTATTTTCAGCTATCTACTTCAGAGCTGCAGTTATTGCCTTCACCTCTATCTTCATGCTTGAAGTTGATATTTAAAAAAAAGCACCATTTTATTCTGTCAAAATCTTTCCCTTCACTCTAGCTGACTAATTCCAGCCAGATCTTTCGCCCTGATAAACCATCAGTATACAGTATTGCATCATGAAGGTCAGCATTTTCAGCTGCTAGTTGCTGTACTAAGGTTGTTAAAAATACAATATTCTTACCAATGCTATGCTATCAGTATCAAACATGGACATTGTCTTCAGAAGACAGAAGAAAATTAGTCACGACATGAATGAAATGTTAACGTATTATGCTAGGTGTAACAAGGAAAGATCGACTTAGGAATGATGATATCAAGAGGAGAGTCAGCACAGAACCAATCATAAACTTAATCAGTAGACAACAGATAAAATGGTTTGGCCATATAACAAGATTCGCAACAGAAAGAACACCACAGAAAACAATGTTATTCAGATACAGCAGTAACAGACAGAGCTAGACCACACAGAAGATGGACCGTGGAAATGTTGGAGTCACTGAAAAGTGCTATATATGAAGCAAACAAAGGGGGCCTGTTCCAAAGATCTCTTACTGCCTTGATGCTGCGAGGCATTCCAGGAGTATGGGGACAAATGTGTGTTGACCGGGGGAAGAATGTTTTAAGAAGGAGTTAATGAACTATTTTCATGGGGAGGTCAAGCACATATTCTTGTGACAGCAACATTTGCTCTGTTTAATTCTCCACATCATCTGATAGCTTTCATACATACACATGATCAGAGCTTTTTACTCCCCAACATAAAAGATCATATTTCATATAAAACTACCTTTCAACTGGTTAGAAACCAGACAAAAAATGTTGTTGCATTCCATTCTGTTTCCTTTTGGGGAAAAAAGGGTATCTGTGATTTGAGATGCAGTTTGTCAAATTAAAAACATTTTTATTTTCATGTTGTATTTTGAAAATTTCACTCGGTGATGGACAATTTTTGTATTTATCTTTTAACTAATAACATTTTGGGCTGTTCGATTTTGAAAGCGGTTTGAGATTGCAGGGACATTAATGCTAACATAAGCATTTAGAGTTGTTTTTAATTAAACCGTTAATAATTTTCTTTAAAGATTCATGAACCTTTTGTAAAAAATCACCAGTTAACTGCCATTACTGCCTTTATATTCCACTTCTGCTGTAGGGGAGGGGGGGTACAGGTGAGGAATTTTATTTTGCCCCTAACAGAAAAAATCCTCAGTCTTGCCAAGGATTTGAACCCGGGTCTCCAGCATGAGAGCCCAGCGTTTGGCCTGTAGCGCCTCTGTGTATTAAATACAAGTGTTTTATTTCAGTGATACAGTGTCCAGCTGGTCAGGAGTATAAAATCTGTGGCAAGCCATGTGAGCGCACCTGCAGGGACATTGCTCTCAACACAGACACATTGTGTGATGCTAAGTGTGTGGAAGGCTGTAACTGTCCTGATGGTCAGACACTGGGAAATGATGGTAGATGTATACCCATTTCATCCTGCCCCTGTATATTTGATGGCCGTGTATATCCTGCTGGCTTTACCACTCTAAGGGAAACAGAAATTTGGTGAGATAAAGTTGATAATTTATTAACACAGTTTAAAGTATTATATTTGACCTTTTTAGTCCCAAGCAACATGTTATGTGTGTTGTGCTATTCCCCAGCAATCACATTATGTGCTTTTGATTTTCTTTTCTCTTTGGCCACAAAATACTACAGAAATCTGGTTTTCCCAGTATCTCTTTTCACTGTATCTTCATCCTCTTTGAAAGTCATTGTTCTGAGTTGTTATTTACCTATGTAATCTTTTATGAAGCCTTCATACAATGTAGAAATTAAAGTAGAGAAGTATTTGAAATAAAAGTTTTTAAAGACAGAAACTTCCTTAACAGTTTCCTGAGACATAAATATCTCAACTTCAAATTAAATTTTTTTTAATTATTAAACTGTATGCCTGTTACAGTTAACAATATACATGCCACAGATAAAATAACATTTGTCTGTTGTTGTTTTTAAACATAAATCTCTGGTGCTTAGTTTAGATCAATGTCAGAGTGAATTGTGTAGTGTCTGGGTGCAGGATTTAAGGTGTAGATGTCAGTATATGTGTGCGTGTGTGATAGAGAATAGGAAAACTTTTCTGTCATTACTGAAGTTTGAAATCTGAAATCATGTATTGCTTCAACTAGCACAGCATAATCATTCTCATTGTTAGCAGAGTTTAATATTACTCTTAAAGTGCAAATCAGTTACAGTAAATATACCCTCTTAAATTTGGGCTTTAGCCGCACCTAAAATTAATTCCACGATCTACCTAAATGCTATTTGATGTGTACATTCTAACTGGTATACCAGTATGTAGTTTAATATGTTTATTAAAAGTAAATTGATTATATATGGTCAGAAATTTGCTTTGACCAAATCATACACACACACCGCACGCATACACGAATGCTCGCACACACACACACACACAATATATATATTATATATATAATATATATATATATATATAATATACACATATATATATATATATATTCACTCGCAAGAGCACATTTACATGCACATATATAATCTATACATACGCTCACACACACATATACTGACACATACACCTCAAACCTCCTGCACCAGACACATCACAATTCACTCAATAAAGATACTGTTTTGTGTCTAACAAAGAATTGTATGTTTTACGCCTTTTTAAACTTTTATCATTTTACCTTATTTTCAGTGTCTGTGATGGCGCAAAATTTGTGTGTACCAAAGTCACTAATCATGATTTAACAGAAGTGAAACCCCTGTGTCCAGATAATGCAGTTTATGCTGAATGCATGTCAAACTGTAGACTCACTTGTGAGAACATGCACAACCCTCCAACTTGTGGCAGTGCACAATGTAAGGCAGGATGTGAATGCTCACCAGGCTTTGTCTTTGATGGAGAACATTGTGTCAATGCATCATTGTGTCCATGCTATCATGCTGGAAAAACCTTTTTTGAGGGAGAAACATTCATGCAAGACTGCAATGAATGGTAAGTTCATTTTGTAACTATAGTCTGTTTAGAAACATGTCCCTTCAAACTTCATTAATTTTTTCTTAACCATTGTTTATAGTGCAGAGAGTACTTATGTCCTTATATATTTCATGTTACTCAATTTTTTCAATTGATAATTATGTTTTATTACAGCGGCTTTCTTAAAGCAGCATATTTCTGCTGACATTTGTAGACTGCATCTATATTTTATCCCTGCAAAATATAATTTACTGTAATAATTTACTGTAATTGCACAGATAATATTGTGGCTTGTAATAGCCCCAGCTGAACCCCATAGCTCACACTGGGAAGATTGTCATGATTAGCTGCGCTGATTTTTCTTTACTCCAGATACTAAATGTATACCAGGATTAAGAAGGGTAACCTTTTCAGAATTAAAAGGTTTAAAGTTGAAAAGATCATCTTCATTGTAATTGGTTTTATCCACTATGGCTCTCTCTCTGTCTTCCCCTCTCTCTCTCTCTCTTACACATAATGGCTGGCCACCTGTCAAGAGTGCTGTACATTAAAAGGTTTTAGGTTAAAACGATCATTTTCATTGTACTTGGTTTTATCCAGTAAGGCTCTCTCTCTCTCTCTCTCTCTCTCTCTCTCTCTCTCTCTCTCTCTCTCTCTCTCTCTGTCTCCTTCTCTCTCTCTCTCATTTTCTCTCTTATACAAAATGTCAGGCCGCCTGTCAAAAGTGCTGTACAAAGCTTAAATTCTGTAGTTCCAGTGAAGAGCCTGTGAAATGTCTGTAAAAGTTGCACTGATGAACCGAATGGCTCAGTTCATGAAACAAACCCATGACCTACAGAGTGCAAAAGGCTTTACCAGTTATCCACAGAGATCCTCTTTTGAGAACATCATCCCTCTAGCTATTCTTGTGTAATGCAAATCAACCATTCTTGGCAAGATAATCCAGTAGTTTTCCCTGTGGTTGTGTAAATTGGGCTCCATATTTTACAACAATTTCTAATTGTCAGGACAAATAAGTACCCTTCTCTGTTTCGGTGCAGAGTTGTCCTCCTATTCTCATGTATATCTTGTCTCCTAATCTGTGTTTGCTGCATGTTGCAAGAGAATTGTTGAAAATAAAAATCTGAATCTTGTGTGTTTTCTGTAGCACATGTGTTTCACAAAGATGGCAGTGCACAAAAAATGAGTGTCCATCAGTGTGCAGTGCATATGGAGAGTCTCACTACACCACCTTTGATGGCCGCCAGTATGAATTTCAAGGATCTTGTGATTACGTGCTTCTGCAGTCAGTCAAAGGCAGCGATAACAAATTTGTCATCACCACTCGCAACAGTCAGTGCGGTACCTCTGGTGTCACCTGCTTTAAAGAGATGAATTTTATTATTGGAGAGGAAGGCACAGCAAATTATTACAGACTTCAGCTTATCAGAGGTAAATTTTTATTTATCTTTCTTATATTGTACTATTTTCAGAAACTGTTATTATATTGTAATATTTTCGGAAACTGCTATCATAACTCTGCTGTGTTTCTGGTTATACATTGATTATGTGAAAATTTATTGAGTAAAGCCCATATGGATATAAATGTTTGTGCTTAAATATTCAGATTATTAATTTTATTAACTTGGTCTTAGGACCTTCAACCAGGACCGTCTGCCAGAGTTTACAGCGGGTGAACACAAACAGTTATCTTTGAAAACATTTTTATTTTCATCTCATTTATTAATTAAAAAGTATTTGTACTCGTAATATGAGGAATCTGCTCAGATCAATAGTGTTTAAGTCAAGAAGTCAAAGAATATGGTAACAATGATTCTTTAGCAGAAACTACTAATATGTGTAGAGCATTGGTCTCCAACTTTTTTCAGCTGGTGCCTCCTTAGGCAAATGGCAAAATGTGTTTAAAAAGTAGGCAAAAATAAAAATCTCAAGCATTCATTGTGTTTAAGAAAAAAAAACTTCACAGAAATCAAAGTGTCAAATAACAGAAGAATTATCAGAATTCTCAATCTCTAATTAAGTGCACATGTTATCATATTAATTAGATTTTTAAAAGCAGATGAACAAACTGCTCATTAAAAAAAAAAAATGTCCTTGGCTTTTTGTTTTATAAATAGTTTGAAAATATATATATATATATATTTATATTTTAAATAATATAATATATATTATAAAAAAAAGATGTTATATATATATATATTTTGTTTATTACAAGTAAAAAATGTCAGTATAATGGATTGACACAAGTACAAACTTGTCACTTTGCATGACACACAACTTGCCCCTTCCTCATTCCCCCCCCCCCCCCCCCTTTTCCCCTCCCCCAGGTTGTAGACCACTAGTGTAAAGTGTAATTCATTACAGATCTAATCCTACTTCAAGGTATCCTAAAGTGAGGAGACTAGCACCTTACTTGCCGACTGCCTACTGAGAGGACGTGTTTTTTCCTAGCTCTTACTATTTGGATTTTTTTTTCTAATTGTGCCTGTGAACTAGCGACGTTTTTACTATCGTTGTGATCATTATTCCGTTGAACGTGCAGTGAAATATCGTTTCACGCAATTATATGTCATGATTGCATGCAAATGTGGTTTTTGTAGCATTCTCAAACTTATTTTGAGCGGAAATGTGCCGATGATACAGACACATGAACCACGGATGCGAAGGTCAGTGGGCGTTTTGTCCGCGACACTGAGATTTATCACCACCCAGAACACTGGCTAACCGAGAGATGTCCCGCAAGTGTCACACTATACAAACGAAACATGTGTGACTACGATAGGACAGAGCTTTTTCAAATGATAGTAATGCAAGGGAAAAGAAGAGACAGGAAAATGCTAGAGCTGGACTCACACACTAAACTATAGGCATCCAGGCCATCCCATTTTCTAATGATATAACATAGAACATTATACGTGCGGTATTTCCAACGGCTTGTAAAGGCGACTTGTCCGCTACTATCTGTGTGAGACAGAGAGAGGACAGTAAATCTTAGACGAGTGAAACGTCGAACATGAAACTGACTGAATGACGCTACACCAGGTCATCAACCAATATACGCCCCATTCCTTCGGACACCTAGACGCCTTTTAATGGAGCAACATTTGTTCTGACGCAGGCGGGTTCACAAATGGAAGAAGAAATCATTACAGACACTCAGAATTCTCTTCTTTTAAATATTTCACCTTTCTTAGCAATGACATCTTCATCAGGCTACACCAGATACACTTGAGAACACGACATTCTCTAAGCAACCAATTTACCTGCAGGATTCAAGTTCACACAGCTCTACCCTGCTACAACAGTTCCATCTGTGACCACGTGGCCACCTAGAAATGAACGTAGAGACACAAAACTTGATTTGCTGTTCTCAGGCCTTGATCGATGCAAGAAAAACTGCATGGCTGAGAACAAGCACGTTTGGATATCGAAACAGAAGACTCAATGAACGCTTTACATTTGCTGTAATTAGCTACGCGGTGATCCCTCTCTCTCTCTCTCTCTCTCTCTCCATCTTTCTCTTTCTGTCTACGCTGATTTATGTATGTATTGGCTGAGCTGTTAATGATTATTATTAGTGTATTGTATTAATGTATTACTATTGTTAGAACCTAGAAAATGTGAATGCAACCCCTGGTTGCTTGCAGAATACATTGTTCAAGCAATGTTACCCTACCACAAAGTATGCATCTCTTTCTGAAACCGTCCTTCGGGTGCACCTTTCTACGGCAGTCCTTTATTTCAGCCAACTTTCTGTCACACCAGGGACTGTGTCTGATCTGACTGAGCCATTTGAATTTACTGTCCCCTTCTTGGAGCCAGTCATGCCGACCTTGTGTGCATAGGGAATTCCCTGTGTCAGTGTCTTACATATGTGTGATCATTCTGCATGATTCTTCACTTGTCTCACTCTCTCCCTCTCCCGATATATATATATATATATATACTTATATAAATATGTAGTCATGTAGCAAGCAAGCGGGTGGCAGGTAATGAGTGTATGTATTGTGTGTGTGTGTCTGTGTGTGTGTGTGTGTTTTCTTAAACTACTGCGCGTTTGAGAATGCGTGATGAATTTGAGTAATACAGTGAGATAGTATTTTAGCTACGGGACACCAGTAGCACACATATATCTTTGTGTAGGGAGTCGGTAGTCCGAAACCCAAGTTCAAGGTGTCTCCTTCGTGCCAAAGAACTGCATGGCTGTTGGGTGAACAGTCGTTAACGAAGGCAGTCAGGTCTTTGTTGGGGCGAGGCTTGCTGGTGGATGTAACGTCCTAAATCCCTTCCCCAGCTAATAGTAGGGTACTGCTGGGGTGACAGTTTATTAACCCTCACATGATGCTTCAGGTCCAAATGAACACTAGGCACTGCCACTGTTTTGAGCCGAGGCAAAAATTTTTGCTTCTGCCAGACTGTGGCCGTTGCTTTTTTGCTCCATTTGTAGACTGGAAGTATATAGTTTCGTTCCCCAGCCTCTGAGTTGAGTGCATGGTGTGACACTGTGAGCTGCAGCGACTGTGATAAACATTCTGTGTGTTTTTTGTTGGCACAGGAGCAGAGCAAAGATGGGGTGACCCATTTGCTATGAAGCTGAAATTAAAATTACCAGATTACCTTACCATTTTCCTTCTCAAATAATCTCTTGCAACACTTGTGAGACTGTACAGGTTATATATCAAATTTCACCACTACCCTAGATTCAACCAGGACAGTTTTGTATGATTAGCAAGTGCACTATTCGTGACACTGTTATTCAGATAAATAATAATTTTGACAATATTTTCAGATATTTTAATATATTATTTTAGCAAATTTTTTTTTTTTTAATCAGTGAATTTCCTTTTGTGGTTTCGGGAATTCTCCTGTGGAGAAATGGTGAAGCCGTTCACCTTATGTTCTGAAGGTTGTGAGTTTGTTTCACATTGTGTCACTCAGTTTATAACTGCCAGTTATTAAAGAGACCCCTGGGGATCATCACTGGAGCTGTGGTGTCTGCACTTTGTGAGACGCTCTCGGCAGACAGATAACCATTCTGTAGAGAGAGACATAGCCATATGGGATAAAACATGATGCAATGATCTTTTGACTTTAACTTTTCACCTAATGTGGTTTGTAACATTCATTTTGTAGCAACGTAGAACAAAATATTCTTTGATTTGTTTTATAAATCACAGTGAAATTGTATGCAAGTAATGACTATTGTTGATACTATATCAGGACAGTCAGTTATACCAGACCCTGGGTCTCCATTCACTGTGAAGGAAGTAGGTGACATGGTCTACATAAGAACACCATTTGGTGTCACTCTACAATGGGACAAACAAACCAGAGTCTATGTTCAGCTGTCAGCAGACCACATTAACAAGGTATCTATGACTTTAATGCCTCTATTTTGTGTATCAGTAAAAAAAAAAAAAAAGTAAAGGACCCTTTTCCACACCTTTAGGCTTATAGGGCATATAGGGCTAGAGTTATATTTTATAGACAACGGCACAAGATGGGTGATGTGGTCAGCATCACGCTGACCGCCTTACCTTTCTGGGACTGCACCTGGTACTCACTCAAGGCTATTTTGTGTATAGTTACATTAATCTTTGACTAGCTGGTTCTGCCTTAGTTGCAGATGGTCAGGCTATGGATCCATCAACATTGTTAATGCTTTTAGAGATCGGAACATGAGATTTTAAGAGCAGCATGTTCACATTGCTGCTAAGAATGCAGGAATTGGGAGTTACAGTCAGCACAGCCAAGCATGATAGGCACACGGGATGTACTAGAAATCTTGTCAAACAGCATAAGAATGGCAGTATTAACTGTGGGATACTATTGTAAATTCTGAAAAGGGAGGGGGGGGGGGGGATCCGAGCACCTATGGATGGGTCCAGAGTGCCATAAAGATAAAAACACCCTTTTCCATGCCTCCAGGCCTATTGGGCATATAGGGTAGACCTATATATCATAGATCAATTGACATTCAGAGGGTGATGGGGTCAAAACTTAGAGCTAATACTGGCTTGCTGGATTAATACATCATACTTTTCTTTGACAGCAGCACTAGTTGTAGAATTATATTATTAACTTAGTGTTTCCTTCTGTGTCTTCAGTGAGGAAACTGCATTACCTTTAATTTCTCAACAAAGTTTTTCTTTAATAATTTGTTTCAGTAATAGTTCAGGATTAGTAATGAACAAATTTGCATTTATTTGGGGCTTAAAGAGTGTAGGGAGTTTGGTAATCTGGTAATCTTAGTTTCAACTTTATAGCAAATGGGTCACCCCATAGTTGGTTCCGCTCCTGTGCCAACGAAAAACACACAGAATATTTATCACAGTCCCTTGTGGAAAGATTGACAGACTGCTGTCTCAGCATATTTAGCATACACATGCATTAAAAGCATACGGTAGCCATCCGAAGTGCTAACACAAACAGTCTGTCATTAAAAATGCAGTTCATCATGGATGGTAGCAGAAGTCACCAACAGATCAGCAGTTGCACAAGCGATCAATTTTAATCACATAATAGCACGACCAATATTGCGACAACAGGCATCACAATATTTTCTGAATCTACAACTCACACCACCACGTTGGTCACAGTCGAAAAACATTCCCAATTAATTCCACAGCTCACAGAGTCACGCCGTGCACTCAACTTAAAAGCTGAGTGACGAAACTATATCCTTTCAGTCTACTAATGGAGCAAAAAAAAAAATGGCCACCGTCTGGCAGAAGCAAAAATTTGCCATGGCTCAAAACAGTGGCCGTGCCTAGCGTCCATTTTGACTGGAAGTAATCCAGTGTGGAGAGACTGATAAGCTTAGCGTTTATATCTTAAATACATGAAGATTGGAAGCTTCCAAAGAAAGCTTTCATTTTAAAATGAAAAGTGGAACAGGTTTACAAATGTACTTCATTATAGATTGTAATGGAATTTGATTTTACAGTAATTAAATGTATGGATGATATGGATATCAGTGGCAAGACCAGAATATGGGTAATACATGTATGATAGGAACAGAAAGCAACAGAATGAACAAGAAAGTCTGCATTATCTCAAAAAATAAAGAGCTGTTCATATATGTCATTTGAGTATTTGTGCACAGGAATTATTGAAACAGGTAAAGAGAAGACCATGACTAAACATTGAATGAAAAACATAGTCCCTTGAGATGCAGAGCTCGTAAACCATGTAAAACTATAGTGGATGAGAAAGTCCACTGCAGTAAAAGTCTAACATGCAAAAGAAGCAAAATACTCATTTTGTGGTGTAGGTAAATGAAATCCCAGGTCTGCAGGCTGCATTCTGTTGGCTACAAAAGAGATAGCCCATGATGTATGAGATATTCAATACATGGAAGTTGGGTTAAACTGAGCAGGACATGATGATTCCTTGGGTGAGCCAAGTACCAGAGAACCATGTATTAGCTCTGCATTTGTGGAAGCCTCCTTGGATGGCGGGGAATGCTCATGTTCTGCCCCTGCCTTCTCTTGAGGGCTGATCAGCATTATGTGGCCTCTCTGGATGAGCCTGAATGGGGCACCACCTGTGACCTGGGAAATAAAGATGACCACGCAACAATGAGACTGCTATGTCCCCAGAAACTAACCGGGAAGGCTAACCTGGTCAACAAATGCCCGTAGAATTTGGATATGTTGGCCGAAAGGTGCAAATATCGCAGCCATGCTGCAAACGGACACAACGCAATTACATCTTCAGATGAACGCAGAAGAAGAATGAAAAACAGTAAAAACATAAGATGCATAGATGATATGGCTTTGTTGGCTGAAGACAGGACCTTCAGATTAGTAACTAGGTGCAAACGCTAAGTAATGAAAGTATCTAAAACGGAGCTCAACAAAATGAGAAATTACTTCTTACCTCTAGAAACCTAAGTTAGAATCAAAACTATGAGTGACCAAGTGTGACATTTACCTTACACTATTTTTGTTACAAAAAAACATGGAAAGTGAGTGAACAATGTGAGGACAAAACTGAAACTTCAAAGATGTGGTTACAAATATAGATAGGTATAACAATATGGTCAGAGAAGAAACAAAAAGAATTAGATTTTTTTAAAGTTTTATAAATCCTGGGATTAAAGAGAATACAACTAAATGAGATCAAAGTCATATGTTGTTATAATGATTTACATTGATTTCACTTTGTTTGCAATACCAGGTGGAAGGTCTGTGTGGAAACTTCAACCATGATTCAACAGATGATTTAAAAAACAGCAGAGGTATTGTTGTTGTGAGGCCCACTGACTTTGCAGACAGCTGGAAACTTCAGAGCACTTGTGCTCCATCACAGGAGATCTCAGATACATGTCAGAATAGTACTCAGAGGAAATCCTGGGCTCAGCTGAGGTGCTCAGTCCTTGCCTCTGATCTGTTTAAGCCCTGCCACAATTTTGTTGATTACACAAACTTTATGAAACGGTAAGTTTAGACACATAAACAACAAAGCTCTTGGTTTTACAAAAATTTGAAATAGAAGAAGGCAATAATAGAAAAGAAGAAGACTAAGTGAAAAGAATAAGACAATAAACTAAGAGAAGAAGACAGTAAGGAGAGAACAAAAGACAGTAAGAGAAGATTACAGAAGATTCCTTGACAGCCTTATGTCATGATATAGAAAGGTATCAGTACACAAAATGATACATTTTGTTTAAGATTGCAATATGTGGAGAAGCATTGTCGCCAATATCAGTCAGCTAGGAATTTTGTGATGATGAATGATACAGCATGCAATTAAAGAAGTGCACAGAAACAAAAACAGAAATAAAGTCAGCTTTGAACTAGGCTACATGTAGATTATAATGATGTAGTAGACTTTTACCCAATTATATTATGGTAAGGGTAGTTATAAACCCATCTCTGCCTAGTGAGACAAAAAAGCTGAGTGTCATCATGTTGCTTCTGTCAACCAATAGCCAATAGAGCTGATGTGTGTGTGATAATCCAGCAGAAGCACTTATTATGGTTTCTTGTTGCTGATTATTGATACCATTAAAAAAACAAAAAAATTAATTCATGTGGATTATCCATCCAGATGTCAGTATGATGCTTGTGGCTGTGACCTGGGAGGTGACTGTGAATGTTTATGCACTGCTGTTGCTGCCTATGCTCATGAGTGTGCTGTTGCTGGTGTACCAGTACAGTGGAGGAGTAATGATTTATGTCGTAAGTACCTATCGAGACTTGTATCTCTTTTAAAATATGCACGTCATCACCATATTATCTCTTTCACTGGTGTCTCTTGGACTTCCAGTTCCAACATTTATAGGGAATGGATGACAGGTGAGAACTTGGCTTATATTGACCGTTCTCGTCACCATAAATCCTCCATTTTCGATGTTGCAAGATTGTGGAAGTCCAGTTTGCAGCCAGAGCTACTGAGTTTAGTGCTTCTGGCGGCACTATGAGCTGTGATTATCGGTTATTGACTGAGTTCCAGATTCATACATAATGGCAATGATGGGTGATGTATTTTTCTTCATTGTGTTCCTGGGACATGAGGAAGGAGAAAGAGTGCCCACTGAAATTCATAAAAGACAAGGAAGGGGCTCTGCTTAATACTACAAATGATATCATGGACAGATGGAAAGAATAATTCTCAGAGCTCCTTACTGTTGAGGGAAGTAATGGCCCAAAATAACAGACTGAGAAGGAAATCATCCATGGGGATGATAACATCAGGACGGTAGAATTGAAGGCAGCTATTGAGAAGATTAGGCTTTGAAAAGTAGCTGGTCATAATTGTATAATAGCAGAGATGGTCAAATATATGGGAGTCACAGGTGAGCGCCTTCTACTGAAAGATCTCCAGGCAGCCTGGTGTAGCAAAACTATACCAAAAAAGATTGCCATCATTATACCCATATTTAAAAAAGGTGATAACAGACAATGTGAAAACCACAGAAGCATATCCCTTCTCAGAGTTCCTGGAAAAAGTTACTCTAGAATTCTTGAGCAGAGACTTAGAAGTCTGGTAAAGCCATAGCTGGATGAGGCCCAGTGCGGCTTCAGAACAAACCGAAGCACTCAGGACTTTATCTTTACACTGAGACAGATGAGTAAAAAAAAAGCCCTTGAATATAAGAGTGAGATGCAGCTATGTTTTTTGGATCTAGAAAAAGCATTTGATAAGGTATCCTGGAACAAGCTCCGGGACTGCTTGGCAGGGAAAAACATCCAAGCACCCCCGATCAGTGCAATACAGAGTTTCTACAAAAGCTGCTGAAATTATGTAAGAACAGCTGACAAAAATTCAGAAGAATTTAAGACAACTAGCGGTGTTAGACAAGGTGATATTCTCTTACTTGACCTCTTCAGTCTTATGATGTATAATGTCATCAAGACCTGTAAGGAGAAGACAAAGAAGTACTCTGTAGGGTACTGGAAGATGAGACCAATCTGTATATCAGAGCTGGCATTTGCAGACCATGTGGTCCTGATAGCTAAATCAGAGGCACCCTTTCCGTCCAACTTACTTGTCTGGAAAGAAGAGCTTGAGAAGAGAGGGATGACCATCAGTATCTCCAAAACTAAAACCATGGTAATCTCAAGAGAGGAGAAGAAACACTAGATCTTGATGGGACAGTATGCATTATAGCAGGTCAGCCAGTTCAAATACCTTGAAGTTGTATTTGACTGAAATTGAGGATTTAAGACCGAGCTGGCTACAAGAAAAGCAGCTGCTGTGAGACTTTTCCAGGCCATAAACCGAGGGTTTCTTAGCAAAAGAGAATTTAGCAAGAGGACAAAAGTGGCTGTTTACTGCTCTACCTATGTACCATTCCTGACCTATGGGTGTGAGTCATGGGCAGTGACAACAGCTCACAGAAGCCAGCTTCAGGCCTGAGAAATGAGATATCAGAGAAAAGTGGTCCAAGTGATCCAAGTGATAAAAAGGGACAAAGTCCGCAATCAGACAATATGTCAAGATCTTGATACCCAGTCCTTACAAACCAGTGGATCAGTCACAGTTAACGATGGTTTGGACATGTATGCAGAATGGGAGAAAATTGGCCACAATGGCAAGCATGGGAGGCTAAGAGCCAGGGAACCAGACCTCCAGGGCGGCCCAGGTCACGCTGGGAAGACAACATCCGACAATTTCTAACTGACAGAGGAGTGGAATGGAACAAAGCCAGAAAGAAAACTGCTGATTGAGACGTCTGGCAATCTCTCTGGCAAATTTCTACACCCCAAGGTAGAAGAGGAGTGAATAAGTAAATAAAAAAATAAAAAAAAAGTAAAAAAAAATAAGTGTTCCTGGGACAAGGCGTGTGCTGTAGCTGCTATTTATTTGGTGACATGTGGAGAATGGTCAGGAATAGTTGTAGTCTACTCATCGCCCAGCTATTCGCCAAATATAGTTTTTTTTCAGCGATGACGCCTGGTCTCAAAGTGTGTTTAAGGAGGCACAACCTTATGGTTTGCCAGATCAAATCGTGTGTGTTTTGCTGACTGATGACACTTTGTATGGCTTCGCCATTGTCTTGAAGTATCCAGCGTATCTGACTCAGTTTGTGACTGGAATCACAGACATAGGCGGTTGAGCAATTATGGGCCAAGCTCGTTTGCTGTGATGCCGGAACCGTAACGACTAACTAACTAACTGGTGACTCTGCTGAACTGGAGAAGAAGTCTGTCACATTTCAGAGTGAAGCTGGTGTTCAAACAATTTTTTTAATGCTCAGTCATCGTATACTTAAATTGCTTGGCCACACCTGGAGAATAGAGGATGGTAGAATTCAAAAAGATAGATTCTATTGTAAATTACAGACAGGCTGAAAATGTTTTGGTCAACAGCTGGTTTGTCAAGAAGGGAATAGAGGCAAAAGAGAAGGTGATTTGTGGTTAGACTAAGAGCTGAGCATTTGAGAAAAAACACAACATGCAATGACAAAATGGTCAAGAATTCCCATGCGGCCACTGTTGGAAAGCTTTTCATTGCAAGCCATATTCGCCACCGCCATAGTTTGTAGTTTCTACTCCTCCTTACAGCACAATACTATCGTCTGGAAAGACGGAAAGGTGTCATACACAGGAAGCCACTAAGTCATCGTTGATGCATCTGCCAGTCCCTGAAAAGCCCATTTAATGGCATTAGTTATGTTTGCACATGCAGACTCCCCTCCCAAACGCCAGGAAAAACAGCCCTATCAAAAGCCGCTGAGCCAGACATATTATGCAGACAAACAAACTCAGACGAAACTAATCGCCAAAAATAAAAAAAAATTATCTAAGATAGCAAAGAAACAGTCCTCAATATAGCAGGCCTTCGGGCGGCTCAAAGAGAACTAAGCTCGGAATTTTTGTTTACCAAATTTGAATTGAATTTGCACATGCACTATGTTTAGGAGTAATGGGTATAATTATATTTACTGTTAATTGCATTTGGGAACAATGGCTTTTGTCAACTTAAAGATGTCATAATTTGCCTTAAGCCATTAGCGATCACATTGCTATGGTGGCACAGGATATGCCACTGTTTAATTCTTTTAAAGCTTAAGGGAATGCATTTTGTTGAATTCAGCAGTCCGTTTGTATTCACAGATTACTTCCCTACATAAATTCCTGTGAAATTTTTTAAAAATATATTCAAACATTTAAAACATTATTAGTTACCTGTATGAAATGTTTTAACAACAACAAATAAAAAAAAAGATTTTTCAGAAATTCTCGAGTTCATTGACCTTTCTTCCCACATTAATATCTGGAGCAAAAGGGTTGCATGTCCCTGACCCCAAAGCATCAATATTTGTTGAAACATTTTAAATACAAATTAAACTGAAGCACAATTTTTTTTAAAAAGAAAAATAAAGAAATTAGGCTGTTACGGTACTTAATTTGGTTCAAATCCCACAAGAGCCAGAGTTTATATTAAAGATCAGATGACTCCAAAATGTGTTCAGCCTTAAATCAAGAGTATATGAAAATATTTTCAGAAGTAAAGAGTACCCAGGACTGATCTGACCCTGTTACTCATAAAAGTTTTGAGTGTTCTAAAAATGCATAACATATCTCATATGACATTATTACGAGAGGCTAAAGATTTTGGGGTTAACTCCATGTCAGAAATCAAGAGATTTGCCAGCAATAGAGTAGATCAAAGGCATCAAAAGTGAACCCTATGTGACGTCTAATGGCACATAAAGGATGACGATGATAATGATGATATCTCACAAGGCAGGGAAAGATATTTTCTCTTATGGACTTTTTTGTAACAAGTATTGCAGCATGGGTTTTTAGATTAATTTTTATTAACTACTAGCTGTACCCGGCCACGCGTTGCTGTGGAATAGTTTGCCTAAATGGAAATGAAAGAAAATAGAAATTGCACGTGTCTAATACAATCATTGTCTGCTCAGATATAGAGATAGTCTTTGATCCCCACCCCACCCACCCCCACCCCCACAACTAAACCCACCTACTACCCTCTCCCTCATCAAAGGTTTTTGGAAAAGAAAGACAATGGAAATCGCACCTGTCTAATATAGTTAATGTCGCAATCATTCTCTGCACATTTATATAGAGATAGTCTGGTTTTCCAACTTTAGAACACGCACCATATAATTGTGTCTTTATATTAGTGGTCGTTTAAATGGTGCTATTAGCACAGTAACAAAAGTTGTTATTTGGTTATCACATGCTAAAGCTGTTTGTATTTTTATAGGAGACGTAAGTAAAGCTACTACTGTACTTGTAAATAACAAAGTAAGTTGTACAAAAATTAGAATAGCAAAGGTAGCGTTAGTAAAATATAAAAAATTTAAGTAAGAAATGAGAACTTAAAAATCATGTGTAAAGCTCTTTAAGTTCTCTTAAATTTCAGTCATTACCCTCTCCCCTCCCCTCTTCCACCGACTACTGCTCTCTCTCTCTCTTCGAAGGATTGAAAAATCATCACCTGGCGATATATTTTTTGTTGTAACTGACATTGACATCCCTGTCCAATCGGGCTAAATTGGGAGCAGGAATTGTAATAGGTAGTGAATGGGGCTAATGTAATATTTACTGCATCATCCTTCAAGTACCAGTACATCTACTACCACGACCACCACCACAGTAGCTAAAATAATGTCACTGCTATCTGTTTTACCATCGGAGTAGACAGGGAGGCGTGAGCCAGAAGATTTGGCGCCGCATGGCTAGTGCTGTCGCCACGGACTGGT